ATCTTATTCTTGGAGAAGAGCTTCTTCCACATTATTTTCTCGATACCACCTCCACAATATGCGAAGTAAAATATGGGAAGGAACGAAAATTGATTGCTCACCATAACTACGATGAGGAACAAATGACGCCGCCCTTACCTGAAATTTATTTGTTGAAAACAAAAGAAGAATGCGGCAAGAATTACTGTGAACAAATCGCTCCCTTCGTGCGAAGGAAGTCCAACGAGGGATCTAAATATACTAAAGTAGAAATCTTTTGGCCGCATGAATTACTTGAGGTGAACCGTTGCTTTCAAAGTATTAAGAATTCTTAAATTAAATTAAGCAAAAATATTTAGAATTCTCTTCCTTTGACCCATGGTGGAAATGTAGGATTTCAGAATATCAGTCTATCTGTTCCTCTGATACATGTGCATATGGTTACCGTTATTGGTTTTAAGAAAAAGAAAATTGGAAGATAGTACCTAAAATATTTCAATAAGGATTGGAAAAACTTTGGTTACAAATGTGATTATTGAAAATTCTGGCCTCTGATTGGTCGAGCGACCTCAGATTATTACGCGACTGAGCGGAATTCTCAAAAACAAATCCGGCGAGTTGTTTTTGTCAAAGTGACGGATGAAGAAATATGTTATTTTGACGAAAATGCTGTGCATGAAAGCGCAAAAGAAGTGAAAAAATTAGACATAAAATTATTTTCATGGTAAATACTACTTTTAGAACGCTTTTCAACTTTATTTCGCAAAAATATGCATTGTTTTAATTGAATCGTCGTAAAACTGTTGCTTCTACAGCAGATTTTTCTTTCAAAAAACCACCTTTGTATTATTTAGCGATATTCACACCGCTTTCGAGGAATAATTGTTAAATAAATACGATAGTTAGTGACTGTATACACATGCATGCACTACGGTTTAAAACTTTCTTTATTCTGTATTTTAGGAGGAAATTGTTATTGTCGATAGTCCAGGTCTGGGTGAATGTGATGAAATGGATGAAGTTCTGATGAATTATCTTCCGAATGCTTTTGCGTTCATTTGTGTTCTTGACGCTTCCAGTGCTGGAGGAGTACAGAAATATATCAAAGAGAAGGTGAATAAAGGAAAACTTATTAATATTTCAAAGTCAATAATATATTATAATTAGGACTTATTGACAACGGGTGAAAATACGCGACAAAAACGTTGGCTGAACTCTGAAGGTCATATGTCGCGTGTTGTGACGTAGCATCACGACTTCCAATTAATCCTGGTGGTTAAAGTATTAACCCCCTATCAAACTGGTTCAAACCTTCGACAAACGAGATTCTGCGGTAAACATTCGGATTTCCCGCCTTTCACGTGACGTAGTCAGATTCTGGAACAGATAAACTTCGAAGCTTGCTATATAATAATAATATTTAATACCATAATATAATTGCATCTTGACTGATACAATCGTATCACTCGTATATTGCAGCTAAGGAACATCTTAAAAAAGGTGAAGTCATCTGATGGCGGCTTTGAGACCCTTCAACATTTAGCCGAATGTTGGCTTTTTATCTGCAATAAATGGGATCAAGTAAAAGAAAATGAAAGGTCAGAAACGAAGAAATATGTCGTCGCAAAGTTAAGAGAGTGTTGGGAAGATTCAAATTTGAATTATCAAATGGTGTACATGTCAATAACAGACGCCATCGAAGTACAGGAATATGGCGGAGTCACAGAAGAGTTCAATGATTTACTCAAAAAAATTAAGACGATGGTTTTGAGGGCAATAAATATTAGGTTATACAATCACTGGCAGTAAGTATACAACTTTTTATTACATGTGATGAAATAAAAACCATTTTTCAATGAGGAAATTAACTTTATACAATATTTTTGGACGTACGATATTTCCACGTGTATAGAAATGCCATATACTTGCTATATAATGCTTTGGCATTTTGACCGCAATTTGTTGTCATTCTTTTCAAATTAAGATGGCGTCGAGATATATAGGAGTGAGAATCCATGCAAACGTAATTCTTAAATTTCAGCACATTTTCTTTATATTCGACACATAACAAAATCTTTAAGAAAGAACATCTAACTTCCATTGAACAAAATTACAAAGACGGTAATAAATATGTGTTGATGTGCGTAAAATTTTGATTTTTGTCACTGGCTGTATTTTTGTGTTTAAAAGGCGTTTTCAAATTAATGTCTATACACATTTAAGAATATCATTATAGCTTAGATTTATGCACAGACATTCGTAAATTGCGATGAAAAGACACTTTTTAGCTACTCGTTATCTATTTACGAAGAAATGAAAATGTTTTCGAGATTCAGGTTCAAAAAGAATATTAACAATAGGTTAAATCTCTATATGTGATTTAATGACGTTTATTAATATTATTTTTATTATTTTATGTACAAGTTTTTCATTTATTAGCGACCCCATAATGTCTGAAATAAATTAAAAGTTATCTGGCTGGATTAACTATTGTTATTTCAGATAACCTGCACTATTTAGTTGAATTTCACTTTGTAATTGTATAATGTATGTTTTTCTATGGCGCTAATAAAGTTTATTATTGCCGTTATTGTTGCTACTGTTGTTATTAGCTATAATAGACAGGATTGCGAACGTAGCAGTAGGCTACTCTTTTTATATGAGAAAAGTACCTGATGAAAGGAGCAGTATTTAAATTCCTAATTTGGTAGTGCAGAAGCAAAATTGTCTAGATGAGTCTCCAAAACTGTTGACTCTTGAGCAGACAATTATATTACGCGTTTCTTTAAAAGAAAACTATTTTTTTCTAGGTCGTTATATGAATTGCTGTATCAAATTCATAGAGTAACCTTCTTCTTCAACCAAGACGTGCAATCAACTCACCAAGAAACCCGTAAACGAATGGAAGAAATCGAGGAACGCATCGAAAAGATTGAAAGAAAAGAGCAAGATGTAAAGAGAGAAATGGAGGAAAGAGTGAAAACCCAGACCAAAGTTCTCCAAGCCAAACTTGAAGGTTATATCAACTCGATGGATTTCAAAACGAAATTCTGCTCTTGGACGAATTGTGCACTTCCGAAGGGAGAAATAACTTGGGAAATGACAAAGAGAAACATCAAAGAAGCAATTGATAGCCGATTCAAAGAATTGCTCATTGAGTGGGAAAATGGCCATCAAGTTTATGCTGAAATTCATAGGGAAATTCTGGACGAATTTCGTAAAAGGTTAGGCAGATCCTGTGCATTTTCAATTGAAGAGCTTACATATGTATCGAGGCAATTTTCGTGTCCAAAAATATTATGCTAAACTAAATGCTTTATTTGGTAATAAATCACGATCTAAATCGCTCAAAAATGACGTATGTAGTATACATTTCAAAGGGACCTTTCGCATTATAATTCTTTTATATAAAAAATAAAGGTCTTACAGGACAGGGCGACGTTTTCGAGAGTTTTTCTTTGTTTCCAAGCAAAGATGGATGCTTAAAGGATACTTGTATAATGCCCTCGTAGGCTAGCATAGCAAAAAAATATCTAATTGTTAGCGTTGTAAAAAAACTAACAATTGGACGAGTATATTGAAAGAGAATACAGAATAGGGGAGCAAAACCAAAGAAAACACTGTACAAAAAGTCATTAATCAACTACGACCAGTCATAAAAAACTTGATTTTGACAACGCGACTTTCAATATAGTACATTTAATTGTTGATTATTTTCGGTTATTTATATTTTCACACCAATTAGTTAAGTTAAAGTACATTGTTTATTGCCTGTTTTCAAATGTTATCTATATAATTGCCGCTTTAGTTTGAATCTTTTGGAGGAGGAACTCGAAGGTGTTGATAAAGCGATGTATAGTGTAGAAAGAGGTGCTTATCATTCAGGGAACAAAAATAAAATTCCCTTAAAGGCGAAAGTTATCTTCGGAGTGATTAGTCCTCTTTTGATTCCATTCGGTGTGGCGGGTTTGGTGATTGGTACGCCTGTTTTGGGAGCATTGGGTATAAAAGGTAAAGTTGATAAAAAAAAGAAGATTGACAGTTACATAAACAATCCAGTTGAACACCTTAGAAAACGATCCGAAAAATTTTTGGAGCGACTTCCAAAAGAATACGTGTTACAATATGTCCAACGCCTGATGGAGAACACTAGAATGGTGCTATCAAGGTATGGAGATCAAATTCCCACCCTGATCGAGGCCGATCGAAAACTGGTGACGCAATTATTTAATGACAGACGAACACAGAGTGAAATATTGGGAATGTATGACCTAATTCAGAAGAAAAGTCTCAAGATTATATATGAAATCCTACCCTGGGGAATTAAGCTCTGTCCAGCAACAATAAATGCCAGTGATCTTGACTGGAAAAAAGACTACAGTTCATGCCTCGGCGAGGGGGAAGTATCCAGAGTGTACAAAGGGAAGCTAAAGAATCTTGGAAGAAATAAATCAGAGACTTCTGAAATGAACGTGGCGGTAAAAGTATTCAAGAAACAATTTGATGAACCGAATTCTAGATACTTTCTGCAGGAAGAACTGCAGATTAGGTGTGTATCTTGTATTGCAGAACCAACAAACGTCATTATGATCGAGAAAATTTTATTGTCCTAAGCCTTAAATCGAGCGCACACTGTTACACTTTTCACGCATCGACACATCACTCGACCTACATGTGTTCCTAGTGTCACTCGTGTTATAAAATTCAATGCCATCAATGCCGAATTCCATTATGATATTTTGTTCAACACATACGTTCCTGCATGTCCAACCCATTTCAAATGATCCTAACGTGTACGATATCCTTTTTTTCTTTAGAGATTTGAGACATAAAAACGTTCTCAAGTATTTTGGAGCAGCCCGAACTAGTGATAATACTCTTTTATCCAACGACCACCAATTTATATTCGTGATGGAAGCAGCCGCCGACAAAACCGAAGTGTCATCTTCAAAAACCGAATTCTGACCCCAGCGGAGTCTGAAAACTCCAAACTAGCAATCGGCAAGTTCATTAAGAGGGCGATGGACATAGCGGATGGTTTAAACTACATTCACGAGAGAGGACTTATTCACAGACATCTCAAGCTGGAAAATATTTTGGTTAGTACACTTATACAGTTATTATACTGCATATTTATATTGAGGCTATTAAAGCTATACTTTTCGGCCCTTTAATAGGTAACCTGAGTTAAAAAACTGAGAGATCACCATAAGCTTAATTTTATTATTGCTATAATGAAGCGATTATTATCACTTTTTAGAAATAAGTATATATAACGCACTTTAAGGAATTCGCGTGACCGAGGGTGAACAATTGTTTCATTTCTGCCTTTGAACTGTTTTCTTAGGTGTTTTTTAAATTTTGAAAAATTTAAAAATAGTAATTTATTTTTTGCCCAACAGGAAGACAGGACGGGAACAACGATGATATCAGATATTGGGAATTGTGGGCCAATTTTTGGAAACAGAGAAAAGCATAACTAACCTTGCACCCGAGGTGCTCGAAGACCTCAGGAATCGTACAAAAGCAGCAGATGTTTACAGTTATGGTATTGTATTGTGGGAGAGTGGTATGGCGCCCATGCGTCAGAGAATTTATGCCTATCGAAAAAGTCCAATTCCGAGAAAAGCTGGTTGAAGGGTATCGTCCAGAAATGGATAACAACAAAATCAACATACCAAAAATACATGGGGTCATGGTGGCAAGCTGGGCTACTGAGGTTGAAAGAGATGGTCAATGAAAGTGTGCTATGATGCATTATCGGATGTGACAGAATGGAGACTGGAATGATGAATGTCCAAATGCGGGGGACATTTAAGCACATTTTACTCTATGAAGAACATAGGGCCTATAGCCTGCCATAAACATATATACAAGTAGAATAAGCATAGAGGACAATGTTTGGTATTTTTTGATACGTTTTAATTGAAATATATAACGCAAACTTAATGAAGCACGAATAGTACTGTCAAAATAGTAGTTGAAAGTAGTTTTTCAAAAACACTCGCGATGTAGCAAATAAGTATCGATTACAGTGTAGTAGTTTGTGCATTTTTAAATATATGTTAACTTTTCTTAACCAGTTTCTGATTTGTTATCGAGACCAACAACCACCGAGCCAATGATCATTTGTTGTAATAAGTTGCTTTGCAAAATCTGTCATATGAGAACCGCGCTATTGGCATATTTTTTTTGTTTTAGATCGACGTTTTTAGCTACGGTATACTGGTGTGTGAGATGTGTATTTGTGAGCTGCCAAATCAAGCGAAGAGAAAGGAACAATTTGGAAGAATTTCAAATGCTAATATCAAAGCTTTAGTTGAAGCTTGTACGAGGAGAGATTCTAAAACAAGACCGCAATGGAGGATGCAATTGACTTTTGGCGGTGTATGTAGTGCAAAAATTGTACTGAGATATGTTATACGGAGTTAATACATTTGGGTTATAAGGCGTTTAGTGTTCTTTATATTCTTATAAGACTTACCTTACAATGTGCACAGCCACGAGGGTTAACATTAATTTTGTCGAAAGTCGTTCAAACAAAACACACTTGACATAATTTAATCTTTACTATAGGCTATAGCATGTTGAAGTCCTCTTTAAACTGGCTTCAAGTTCGTACATTGCTTTCTTTTACCAGGTTATTAATTAAATAATTTATCGTCTGTAGGAGCCATTTGCAAATTGTAAGCATCAAATTATCCGCGTGACATACCGGAAGTACATGCATCGTATCCCGGATGTAATGATTCAATTCGACTGTAAAATATCACAAGGTAGCTAGAGCATAATTTTGCAAACCCCAGAGCCAACGCCACGATCTTCATCTTGGTAGAAAATTTTCAGAGAAAAAGCTTTATTTGCTGATTGAAATCTGTGTTGAAATTAACTTCGTTTCGAGTTAATTTCAGGGCAGCTATTTGATGAAAATGGACTTATTCTAATTAAAGAATATGCATGCACGTAATGTACATTTCCTTAAATCATTTCATTTGGGAAAGAAAAGAAAACAACACAATTTAAATGTATGAAAATATGATGGTTTAATCGTGTTTTAAATAGTAATTGCATCTACTGTCACATTTCCAGTGTGAAAAACCTGGAAGTTAACAAAAGGCAATGTCGACAAGGCAATTAATTACAGACTTAAACACCAAGTATTTGTTTATTCAGTGGGAAAATCACAATGAAGCTTGTGAATGAATTTTGGTACAAGGTTTGGCATATTCTTTGCATTATAAACTATAAAGATTTAGGCATATCGTTAAGGTCTCTAAAAACCGAGACAATTAATATTCATGGTACATAATTATGCCATGAATGATTCATTATACCGTCTAGCAATTAACACACCTGTGATCCTTTATCAAAAACCTACCGCAAATATTCCATTTTGTATACTGCGCTACGGGAGGCAAAAATTACCACTGATTTTTGTGTTGAGGTATCTAAATTTCTATAGAAATTAGAGCTATATATCTACGTATTGTGTGACTGTTTAAATAGGTCGGTATAGAAAATGCTTATCGTATAATATAATAGTGTCGCTGAACAATACTGCATGGGTAGGTAAACGAAACAGCATCAAAAACATGGCAACAACTTAAAGTCAGGTATGTTGGACAACTCTTAGAAGTTAATGCTCTTGCTTCTTTCTACATCTTGTACATATAGCTAAGAATGCTATGATATTCATGCAGGTTTGAAATAATGAAACTAAATATTATTATATATGGTTCTACGATCCGGAAATAGGTTTAGTATATTGAAGTTCCCCGTATACATTCAAAGTTCTGCAACAACTTACTGAATCTGTCACAATTTACCATGTACCTTAAAAAGCTATAAAGTTGAACGCGTTCACTAATAAAATAAGCCGAAAATATTGCCTGCAGTGAATACAGGAAATTATGCCTTGTTTAGTTATAAAATACTTTTGGTTTTATCTGGCTAATTTGACTACCATTAATATACTCTATATAAATGTCATTAATCTGCTCTATTTCTTACTGTTATATTACCATAATATACTTAAGTGAGTGCAACAATATTTATCGGTTTATGTCTCGTGAAGAGGCGGCAATAGTCTGACAAACGAAAGCAACACACCCGCATGATCTTTTGTCAAAGAACATACCTGAAATATTCAAAGTTTTAACACTGCACTGCGGGAGACAAATATTATCACTGCTTTTTTTTGTGTTGAGGTATTTAAATCGTATAGAAAATGAGATTTAAGTCTCACAGTATTGCATAAGTGTGAATAGGTATGTACAGATCGTAATTAAAAGAGCGTCGGCAATATACTGTAGGTAAATGAAACCCATCAAACAGTATGGCAACTTAAAGTCAGGTATGTTCGACAACTTTTTGAAGGTATATAATGCTCTTGCTTCTTCTATATATCTACGTACAAGGTATTATTATATATCTATATAAGGAATGGTATTATATTCGTGCAGGTTTTGATAATGAAACCAATTATTGTTTGATATGGTTCTGCGATTCCGAAATAGTTTTTGCATTGAGGTTGTCGTTATACATTGAAAGACAACTCACTAAATCTCTGTCACAATTTATAATGTAGCTACTTTAAAAACCTATAAAATTGAACGCGTTCTTTAATGAAATCACCGCGAATACTGTCTGCATGTGAATACAGGAAATGATGCCTTAATTGTTTTTCTAAACTCGAATTGGTTTAATCCCTATAGCTAATGGTAATATGCTCCTGTTCGTACTGTTATATTAACATAATATTCACGTATTCAAGTCATCATTGTATCTGATAAACCAGGTTTTGCTAAGTCTATTCTATTGTAATACTTTCCAAACGAAAATTAATAAACGAGATATTACATTATTACATATTATCATTATTAGCATTTAGCATAGTATATTAAACCGCAGAGTTAAAATTCCTGGCGAATTAACGATTTCAAAACTACAACTAGAGCTATTTGATTTCATATAAACTTCCTTAAAAGACGCCCAACGGAAGTTTATAGCAATACCACAATAATTAAATTATTCTTTGTCATGCGGATTTTTGTGGCAATGAATTTCCAAGTATTGTTAAAACACATCGAAAATTGCTTGTTAAAACTCTTTTCACCAATGCAAAGTTTCGCAATGGGGTTCCTATACCAATAAGGAAGCCAGTATACCTAAATAATGACCGATGCATGTAGAGACAAATTTAACAGTGTAATATAAAACAGTTAAGCAGAAATTCTAACAGTTTTTAAACAAGGCCTGGCCTAGTGCATGTATTGCCTGGCTTTGGACTTGATTCCATGCATGTATCTACGAAGCGTTTACGCCTATCTTTTGATCAGACTCACTTTAACCCAAATATTACACTTTTTACAACGACTGGAGAGTAACTTCAAAGAAAAATGCTGAAATGGCGGGCATTTTTCAATGCAATGCATGTCATTCTGGCAAAGAAACGATACCCGTCGTAAGGTCAGTTATTTTCACAGGAATCAATAGTAGAGTTAGTAAAAGATTAAGAGCATAATTGCATGGAATGTGCCTCTATACAAATAGGCACTGTCTACACGATGCCGGAAGAATTTGAAAACGCAAAAATATTTATCCGCGTCAACACGTAAACACAAAACGACTCGAAAACGCTAAAGTTATTTGATCCCGCAATACACCTTCATGTTTTCCACCGCGTGTCACAGGTTGGATGTCGAATTCAAAGCAAAAATCTACCAAATACAAAGTGAAAAACAAGAATGAGGACTTTGTTTGGACAAACGACAAGCCCAAACTCATAATTATTGTTGTTGAGTATTTGTTAAGTGCATTTCGTGCATACGAAATTGTGTATATCCATACTCCGACATTTTGGACATGTTTCTCTCGTAAAATACTTCCGCAAATGCTACAAGAATTTCCGAAGATTTTCATCATCATGAAAATAACCTAAATAAGACTTATTTGAGGCTAATATACCAATATAAAGTCAAGCATAAGCCACCAGACTTGAAACAAGCCTCATTACAAAGCTGTCCACACGTATCCGCTCAGCCGTTTTTTTGAAATTCTTCCACTGTGGAGAGCGTTTCAGATTCTTCCGTTTCAGTGGGCGAAAACGCCGGATACGTGTGGACGGTACGCGTAACCGTAAGAATATTCTTGCGTTTTCAAATTATTCCGGCATCGTGTGGCATAGTATTTGTATTTATAGTTGTTTGTTAAATGAAAAGTAAAAAAATTACAGAAACCACACTATAAGTATTTTAGTAGGCAAATACCAGCGGCGGATCCAGAGTAACTAAGCCAGAACAAATTATTTCTAGAACTCTAATTTGCCCTTCGCATTGGTGGATTTTTTTTCTAATAGAAACCCATAACAAATAGCGCTGTCATTAATGTACTTTGTGAAATTAATGAATAATTAATGAGTCTAACTTGCAATCATTGCGCAGTATTTTGGTCACATGTATACATCTGTAATTCTCCATAAAGGTCTCATGAATTGTTAATTAATATATTAACTTTGATACAATTAATCTTAATTAGTATTCATAACTTTGTTACACACATGCCCTAATATGCATTAAGCTTAATTTATTCATTTCACGTGCTACGCACTCGCCATTGTAAATACCCATACAGATCGGCCGCGAGTATTTTAAATAGTACTTATTTAAAATAAAGAAGCTGTGTAGTAATATATTATAGTTCTAATCCAGGGGCCGCTGCTGATTGTCTGTTCATATCACAACACATCTTACGGTAGTCTTATAGAAAAATATTATGACTTCTCGAGAAATGACCTATTGTTACTACATGAAAGCACTAGGACCTTAAAAAAAACTTGTAAAATAATTTAATTTTGTGCACGGGAAAACATACAAATGATTGCATTTTCAATATACCCGGCATGGATTTAGTTCTTGCCTGGCATGAAGATAGTAGGCCAGTCAGATTCTAATGAAAGTTGATTAAGATGACAAGTAAGAGCAAAGGCTGTTTTCCACTTACACCGTAAAAGTCTAAAAACCTTATACATGTTACCTTTGAAAATTGAAGGAACTTAGTTTTCTGCATATTTTTGTATGCATTAGTTGACCTAGATGTTAAATAATAAAAATTTAAAGCATTCAAAATTTTCCGTACGTGTACGTGCGTATAAAAAACGCGTAAGTGGAAAGCAGCCTTATGATGATAAGTATATGACCATACAGGCATAACGGAATAACTTCGCTGGACAGGTCTGATGTTTGCCAGACATCTAACACGGAATATATTACAGTTTGCGGAAGTCATCCTGTAAACGACTTTTAAAAAGGATCTTTTTAAACTTTTCACTAGTGGCAGTTCCCTGTATCATTCTCTTGACTGATGTAGATGTGTTATAAGTATGTAATTATTAAGCAAATGTAAAAGATTGTAAGTGCATCTACTTTTCCTATTTGTAAAGCGCCTTGAACTTTAGGATATGTGCATGCGCTATAAAAATCGAGGATATTATTATTATTATTATTATTATATAGACGCTATAAAGATTGCATAGAGTTGATAATCTCATTCTATCTTTATCTTACAGTTTGTAAAGGGGTTATATCTTAGCAAATCGAAAAAGAGGGCGAAAAAACGAATGAAGTCGCGCGAAAAAATCTCAGGCACGGGCAGTGAAGAAACCGCCAGAGGTGCTTATGGCGTTTACGAGGTACATCAAGGAAAGTACAGTACTGTCGAGAAATAACCTAATAAAAAACCGCGGTTAACCTAGGTCAAACCTGGGTCTGATCGCGGTTGCATGAACCGAGGTCAGACCGAGCTGTCGAACCGCGGTGAGATGGAGGTTGAACCTCGGCGTATTTCTGTCTGACAGACATTTCTTAAGATTTTTTCGATTTGATTATTGTGTTGTCGTTCTCAGCTGTTCATAACATTCCGTTCGGAAGTGAACGGCCACTGCGAAGGCATTTCTTCCCTTGCCGCCCTCAGGATTTTTATCGGTGGACTGCAACTCAATTGTTAGGTTATTTCTGGACAGTACTGTAGCTATAAAAACGTCCTGTTTCTTGTTTATAACTGAACGAAATTAACACCATGCAGCTAATAATTTACGAAATCAACTACGAAATAGATCTAATTAATCATGTGGACTGGCATAGTGCCGAACAGGCGTGGCTATACCTTGTGGACAATATATGTGAACCAGAGTCGTCTAATTATAAATACATTGTTTATTAACTGAGATAAAATTTTCTATTTTTCAAACATATCAATTATCAATAGGACATGTCTGAATATCAACACCCCTCACGAGGAATAACCCATTCACGACACCAGAAGATTCACGTTATAACCCACAGGTGATGTAGCAGATATATGGCCAGTATAGTTTTAATCATTTATGTCAAAAAAGAAGTAAACAACTTTTTTGCTGACGTGTTAATTATATTCATAATAAAACGCCCTGTCCCCTGTTTATCACTGAGCGAAATTAACACCAGCTAATAATTTACGAAATCAACTACGAAATAGATCTAATTAATCATGTGGACTGGCATAGTGCCGAACAGGCGTGGCTATACCTTTGGACAATATACGTGAACCAGAGCCGTCTAATTATAAATACATTGTTTGTTTATTAACTGAGATAAATATTTTCTATTTTTCAAACATATCAATTATCAATAGGACATGTCTGAATATCAACACCCCTCACGAGGATATAACCCATTCACGACACCAGGAGATTCAAGTTATAACCCACAGGTGATGTAGCAGATATATGGCCAGTATAGTTTTAATCATTTATGTCCAAAAAAAATGGTAAACAACTTTTTTGCTGACGTGTTAATTATATTTATAATAAAAACGTCCTGTTTCCTGTTTATCACTGAGCGAAATTAACACTAGCTAATAATTTACGAAATCAATTACGAAATAGATCTAATTAATCATGTGGACTGGCATAGTGCCGAACAGGCGTGGCTATACCTTTTGGACAATATATGTGAACCAGAGCCGTCTAATTATAAATACATTGTTTGTTTATTAACTGAGATAAATATTTTCTATTTTTCAAACATATCAATTATCAATAGGACTTGTCGGAATATCAACACCCCTCACGACGATACAACACATTCACCACACCAGAAGTTTCAAGTTATAACCCACAGGTGATGTAGCAGATATATGGCCAGTATAGTTTTAATCATTTATGTCACAAAAATATTAAACAACTTTTTTGCTGACGTATTAATTATATTTATTATAAAAACGTCCTGTTTCCTGTTTATCACTGAGCGATTTTAACACCAGCTAATAATTTACGAAATCAACTACGAAATAGATCTAATTAGTCATGTGGACTGGCATAGTGCCGAACAGACGTGGCTATACCTTGTGGACAATATATGTGAACCAGAGCCGTCTAATTATAAATACATTGTTTTTTTATGAACTGAGATAAATATTATCTATTTTTCAAACATATCAATTATCAATAGGACATGTCGGAATATCAACACCCCTCACGACGATACAACACATTCACGACACAAGAAGTTTCACGTTCTAACCCACAGGTGATGTAGCAGATATATGGCCAGTATAGTTTTAATCATTTATGTCACAAAAATGGTAAACAACTTTTTTGCTGACGTGCTAATTATATTTATTATCAATATGAAAAAATCACCGGACACTGATTGGTTGAGAGAAGAATAGTTACGTCATTACTTGTAATGCAGTACAATGAAAGATTTCCTAAAATATATACGAAATAGTAGAATGTTAGCTATATTTGCATATCAACTAGGCCGCCCTATAAGAGCTAAAAGTGCCAGAGCGCCAAACGAAAATACTGGCAGAAAGTACTTGAATATAAATGATCTGGCAGAATTGGAACGAAAATGATGACAAAAAATCCACTATTGAAATCGTTAAAGTTTAACTGTAATTTCAAGTGGTCCTTTTTTTAGAAATATGAACACCGCAGTGCCAGAACAAGAATTCGTCGTAGACACCAAAAACGAATATCCGGAAAAACGCCCAAAAAGAATGTGGAGGACATACAAGACATAAGCGAAATGCTTGGTTTATTTCGTCTGCTTCATATAGCTCACGACCCTAATGAATTATGCCTTTCAAAAATGAAAGAGACGGCTAAAAGAGTACTCGAAGACCAAGGTTCTGGTAGCGGAAAGTATTCATATGGCACAACGGTGATTCTTTTACGAATTATTATATTTACGAAAAGTAAACGCATGCTTTGAGAACTTTTGCCTAGTACTGGTGATGAAATGTCCCACAAAGCGATAAAGTCTTAGTAAATTTACAGGCCAAAGCGTGGTCGAGCGACCTTTGCGTCCCCTTTCGAGCATACGGACGCATTTAATCACTATATATTCCCGAAAGCTTTACGTTTAGATTGTAAAAACATGATTATAACGAGGTTGAAAATTGCCTCAGATTTAACTTTTTAAATATCAGGTGTTCTCATCGTAATTCGTTGTCATCACATTTAACATTTTTTTAATGAAACGAAATCGAGGTTTTTATTCAGTGATTTTAAACAAGACTGCGGCAAAAATTATCCACACTTCAACATATTTTCTACTATATTTAAAAGGGATTTGGGGTAATAGCCATGACTAAAGACGAGGATATGTTGAAGAGAAAAACGCTGCTGGACTTTAATCTCCAGGTTGACGATTGTGTGAGGCAATTGGGCAGCCACGCGATTGAGGTTCTAGACGTTTACTATAGCGATGGAAGTGTTTTGAATGTTTTGGGAGAAGAAAGGGAGCGCTTAACGAAAACAGAATATAACATCCTTATTGCAGGTATTGAAGGTTGTAGTTGGTTATATATTGCAAGGGCAGGTTGTTCAAACCCCAATTATCAGCGCCAACCCTGTCCTAAGGCTAAACTTCGACCTGCTGTTTTTGTTCTTGCCAGTCGAACACAAAGAGACACAGTAATACATTTCTGGATTTCTGTTCTGTTCAAAACTTAGAAAATTGAGTCTCTATCGAATCGGACAAGATTTCTGAAACATTTACCCATTCAAATTTATAAATGAACTGTTAAAAGCCTGGGGCCGGTTTTCACTATCCGGCTAATATCACTATCCGGCTTTCACACAACCGACCCCAGATTTTTAAATGCTTTAGCCATGCAGCTAGAGTTAACCTAACAGACATTTAAACACATACCTCGTGCAGCACCGTGCAGTATGCAATGAAACATTGAAAAAAAATTATCTTTACAATTTTTTAGGCGAAAGTAGCGCCGGAAAAAGTAGTTTAGTCAATCTTATTCTCGGCGAAGAGCTTCTTCCACATCACAATCTCAATACCACCTCCACAATATGCGAGGTAAAACATGGGGAAAAACGAGAATTGATTGCTCACTATAACTACGATGAGGAACAAAGGATGCCCAAACCTGAAATACATCCGTTGAGAACAAAAGAAGAATGCGGCAAAAATTACTGTGAACAAATCGCTCCCTTCGTGCAAAGGAAGTCCAACGAAAGATCTAAATATACTAGAGTAGAAATCTTTTGGACGCATGAATTACTTGAGGTGAACCGTTGCCTTTCAAATTATTAGGAATTCAAATAAATAATCAATAATATTCAGAATTCTCTTTGTTTGACACATGGTGGAAATGTGGGATTTCAGAATATTATCTATCTGTTCCTCTATATATGTACATATGTTATCGTTATTGGTTTTAAAACCGTATAAGAAAATTGGGGGATTGTAACTGTTTCACTAAGGATTGGAAAAAACTTTGATTACAAAGATGATTATTGAAAATTCTTGCCTCTGATTGGTCGAGCGACCTCGGATTATTATGCGACTAAGCGGATTTTTCAATCCGGCGAGTTGTTTTTGTCAAAGTGACGGATGAAGAAATATGTTATTTTGACGAAAATGCTGTGCCTGAAAGCGCAAAAATTAGACATAAAATTATTTTTATGGTAAAAACTACTATGGTAAAAACTAACGCCAAAATATGCATTGTTTTATTTAAATCGCCGTACTGTCGCTTCGAAATGTACTAATCGAACTGTCGTTTCTACAGCAGATTTTTCTTTCAAAAAATCACCTCTGTATTATTTAGTGATATTCACACCGCCTTCGGAGAATAATTGTTAAATAAATACGATAGTTAATGACTGTATGCACATGCATGCATTACGGTTTAAACTTTCTTTATTCTGTACTTTAGGAAGAAATTGTTATTGTCGATAGTCCAGGCCTGGGTGAATGTGATGAAATGGATGCAGTTCTGATGAATTATCTTCCGAATGCTTTTGCGTTCATTTATGTTCTTGACGTTTCCCGTGCTGGAGGAATACAGAAAGATATCAAAGAGAAGGTGAATAAAGGAAAACTTTAAAATATTTTAATGTCCATAAAATAATATAATTAAGAATTATTAGGCAGAGAAACTATGGTTGAACTCTGAATTTCGAAGGTCATATGTCGCGTGATGTGACGTAGCATCACCACTTCCGGTTTTATTAATCCCGGTGGTTGAAGTATTAACCTCCTATCAAACCGGTTCAAACCTGATAAACAAGATTTTGTGGTAAACACTCGGATTTCCCGCCTTTCACGTGACGTAGTCTTAACCAATTAGATTCTGGAACAGACAAACTTCGAAACTTGCTCATATAATATTTTAATACCCTAATATAATTGCGTCTTGACTGATACAATCATATCATTCGTATACTGCAGTTAAGGAACATCTTAAAAAAGGTGAAGTCATCTGATGGCGGCGTTGAGACCCTTCACCATTTAGCCGAATGTTCGCTTTTTATCTGCAATAAATGGGATCAAGTAAAAGAGGGAGAAAGGTCAGCAACGAAGAATCATGTCGTCGCAAAGTTAAGAGAGTGTTGGGAAGATTCAAATTTGAATCATCAAATTGTGTACATGTCAATAACAGAGGCCATCGAAGTACAGGAATATGGCGGAGTCACAGAAGAGTTCAATGATTTACTCCAAAAAATTAAGACGATGGTTTTGAGGGCAATAAATATTAGGTTGTACAATCACTGGCAGTAAGTATAGAACTTTTTATTACATGTGATGAAATAGAAATCGTTTTTCAATGAGTAAATTAACTTTATACAATATTTTGGATGTATGATATTTCCACATGTATATAGAAATGCATATACGGCTTTGGCATTTTGACGGCAATTTGTTGTCATTCTTTTCAAATCAAGATCGCGTCGAGATATATAGGAGTGAAAATCCGTGCAAACGTAATTGTTAAATTTCAGCACATTTTCTTTATATTCGACACATAAAAAATTCTTTCAGAAAGAATATCTAACTTCCGTTGAACAAAATTAGAAAGAAATTGAACGGTAATAAATATGTTTTGATGCATAAAATTTTTATTTTTGTCACTCGCTGTATTTTTGTGTTTAAAAGGCTTTGGTTTTCAAATTAATGTCTATACACATTTAAGAATACCATTATAGCTTAGATTTATGCACAGACATTCGTAAATTGCGATGAAAGACACTTTTAGCTAGCGTTATCTATTTACGAAGAAATGAAAATGTTTCCGAGATTCAGGTTCAAAAAGAATATTAACAATAGGTTAAATCTCTATATGTGATTTAATAACGTTTATTAATATTATTTTTATCATTTAATGCTTGTACAAGTTTTTCATTTATTAGCGACCCCTTAATGTCTCAAATAAATTAGAGGTTATCTGACTGGATTAACTATTGTTATTTCAGATAACCTGCACTATTTAGTTGAATTTCACTTTGTAATTTAAAAAAAAGTTTTTCTATGGTGCTAATAAAGTTTATTGTTGTTATTGTTGTTATTGTTGTTATTAGCTATAATAGTTGCGAACGTAGCAGCAGTAGGCTACTCTTTTTAATTTACATGAGAAAAGTCCCTGATGAAAGGATTTAAATTCCTAATTTTGTAGTGCAGAAGCAAAATTGTCTAGATGAGTCTCCGAAACTGTTGACTCTTGAGCAGACAATTATATTACGCGTTTCTTTAAAAGAAAACTATTTTTTTCTAGGTCGTTATATGCATTGCTGTATCAAATTTATAGAGTAACCTACTTCTTCAACCAAGAGGTGCAATCAACTCACCAAGAAACCCGTGAACGAATGGAAGAAATCGAGAGACGCATCGAAAAGATTGAACGAAAAGAGCAAGATGTAAAGAGAGAAATGGAGGAAAGAGTGAAAACCCAGACCAAAGTTCTCCAAGCCAAACTCGAAGTTTATATCTACTCGATGGATTTCAAAACGAAATTCTGCTCTTGGACGAATTGTGCACTTCCGAAGGAAGAAATAACTTGGGAAATGACAAAGAGAAACATCAAAGAAGCAATTGATAGCCGATTCAAAGAATTGCTAATTGAGTGGGAAAATGGCCATCAAGTTTATGCTGAAATTCATAGGGAGATTCTGGACGAATTTCGTAAAAGGTTAGGCAGATCCTGCGCATTTTCAATTGAAGAGCTTACATATGTATCGTGGCAATTTTCATGTCCAAAAATATTATGCTAAACTAAATGCTTTATTTGGTAATAAATCACGATCTAAATCGCTCAAAAATGTTGTATGTAGTACACATTTCAAAGGCACCTTTCGCATTATAATTCTTTTATATAAAAATAAAGGTCTTACAGGACAGGGCAACGTTTTCGAGAGTTTTTCTTTGTTTCCAAGCAAAAATGGATGCTTAAAGGATACTTGTATAATGCCCTCGTAGGCTGGCATAGCAAACAAAACATCTAATTGTTAGCGTTGTAAAAAAACTAACAATTGGACGAGTATATCGAAAGAGAATACAGAATAGGGGCAAAACCTAAAGAAAACACTGTACAAAAAGTCATTAATCAACTACGACCAGTATAAAAACTTGATTTTGACAACGCGACTTTCAATATAGTACATTTAATTGTTGATTATTTTCGGTTATTTATATTTTCACACCAATTAGTTAAGTTAAAGTACATTGTTTACTGCCTGTTCTCAAATGTTATCTATATAATTGCCGCTTTAGTTTGAATCTTTTGGAGGAGGAACTCGAAGGTGTTGATAAAGCGATGTATAGTGTGGACAGACGTGCTTATCTTTCACGGAACAAAAATAAAATTCCCTTAAAGGCGAAAGTTATCTTCGGAGTGATTAGTCCTCTTTTGATTCCATTCGGTGTGGCGGGTTTGGTGATTGGTATGCCAGTTTTGGGAGCATTGGGTATAAAAGGTAAAGTTGATAAAAAAAAGAAGATTCACGAAAATTTATAAACAATCCGCTTGAACAACTTAGAAAACGATCCGAAAAATTTTTGGAGGAACTTCCAAAAGACTACGTGTTACAATATGCCCAACGCCTGATGGAGAACACCAGAATGGTGCTATCAAGGTATGGAGATCAAATTCCCACCCTGATCGAGGCCGATCGAAAACTGGTGACGCAATTATTTAATGACAGACGAACACAGAGTGAAATATTGGGAATGTATGACCCAATTCAGAAGAAAAGTCTCGAGATTATATATGAAATCCTACCCTGGGGAATTAAGCTCTGTCCAGCAACAATAAATGCCAGTGATCTTGACTGGAAAAAAGACCACCGTTCATGCGTCGGCGAGGGGGAGGTATCTACAGTGTACAAAGGGAAGCTAAAGAATCTTGGAAGAAATAAATCAGAGACTTCTGAAATGAACGTGGCGGTAAAAGTATTCAAGAAACAATTTGATGAACCGAATTCAAGATACTTTTTGCAGGAAGAACTGCACATTAGGTGTGTATCTTGCATTGCGGAACCAACAAATGTCTTTATGATCGAGAAAAATTTATTGTCCTAAGCCTTAAATCGAGCGCACACTGTTACACTTTTCACGCATCGACACATCACTCGACCTACATGTGTTCCTAGTGTAACTTGTGTTATAAAATTCAATGCCATTAATGCCGAATGCCTTTATGATATTTTGTTCAACACATATACGTTCCTGCATGTCCAACCCATTTCAAATAATCCTAACGTTTACGATATCCTTTTTTTCTCTAGAGATTTGAGACATAAAAACGTTCTCAAGTATTTTGGAGCAGCCCGAACTAGTGATAATACTCTTTTATCCAAAGACCACCAATTTATATTCGTGATGGAAGCAGCCCGACAAAACCTGCGAAGTGCCATCTTCAAAAACCAAATTCTGACCCCAGCGGAGTCTGAAAACTCCAAACTAGCAATCGGCAAGTTCATTAAGAGGGCGATGGACATAGCGGATGGTTTAAACTACATTCACGAGAGAGGACTTATTCACAGACATCTCAAGCTGGAAAATATTTTGGTTAGTACACTTATACACTTATTATACTGCATATTTATATTGAGGCTATTAAAGCTATACTTTTCGGCCCTTTAACTATAATAGGTAACCTGAGTTAAAAAACTGAGAGATCACCATAAGGTTAATTTTTATTATTGCTATAATGAAGCGATTATTATCACTTTTTAGAAATAAGTATATATAACGCACTTTAAGGAATTCGCGTGACCGAGGGTGAACAATTGTTTCATTTCTTCCTTTGAACTGTTTTCTTAGGTGTTTTTTAAATTTTGAAAAATTTAAAAATAGTAATTTATTTTTTTGCCCAACAGGAAGACGAGGACGGGACAACGATGATATCAGATATTGGAATTGTGGGCCAATTTTTGGAAACAGAGAAAAGCATAACTAACCTTGCACCCGAGGTGCTCGAAGACCTCAGGAATCGTACAAAAGCAGCAGATGTTTACAGTTATGGTATTGTATTGTGGGAGATGTGGTATGGCGCCCATGCGTTCAGAGAATTTATGCCTATCGAAAAAGTCCAATTCCGAGAAAAGCTGGTTGAAGGGTATCGTCCAGAAATGGATAACAACAAAATCAACATACCAAAAATACATGGGGTCATGGTGGCAAGCTGGGCTACTGAGGTTGAAAAGAGATGGTCAATGAAAGTGTGCTATGATGCATTATCGGATGTGACAGAATGGAGACTGGAATGATGAATGTCCAAATGCGGGGGACATTTAAGCACATTTTACTCTATGAAGAACATAGGGCCTATAGCCTGCCATAAACATATATACAAGTAGATAAGCATAGAGGACAATGTTTTGGTATTTTTTGATACGTTTTAATTGAAATATATAACGCAAACTTAATGAAGCACGAATAGTACTGTCAAAATAGTAGTTGAAAGTAGTTTTTCAAAAACACTCGCGATGTAGCAAATAAGTATCGATTACAGTGTAGTAGTTTGTGCATTTTTAAATATATGTTAACTTTTCTTAACCAGTTTCTGATTTGTTATCGAGACCAACAAACCACCGAGCCAATGATCATTTGTTGTAATAAGTTGCTTTGCAAAATCTGTCATATGAGAACCGCGCTATTGGCATATTTTTTTGTTTTAGATCGACGTTTTTAGCTACGGTATACTGGTGTGTGAGATGTGTATTTGTGAGCTGCCAAATCAAGCGAAGAGAAAGGAACAATTTGGAAGAATTTCAAATGCTAATATCAAAGCTTTAGTTGAAGCTTGTACGAGGAGAGATTCTAAAACAAGACCGGCAATGGAGGATGCAATTGACTTTTGGCGGTGTATGTAGTGCAAAAATTGTACTGAGATATGTTATACGGAGTTAATACATTTGGGTTATAAGGCGTTTAGTGTTCTTTATATTCTTATAAAGACTTACCTTACAATGTGCACAGCCACGAGGGTTAACATTAATTTTGTCGAAAGTCGTTCAAACAAAACACACTTGACATAATTTAATCTTTACTATAGGCTATAGCATGTTGAAGTCCTCTTTAAACTGGCTTCAAGTTCGTACATTGCTTTCTTTTACCAGGTTATTAATTAAATAATTTATCGTCTGTAGGAGCCATTTGCAAATTGTAAGCATCAAATTATCCGCGTGACATACCGGAAGTACATGCATCGTATCCCGGATGTAATGATTCAATTCGACTGTAAAATATCACAAGGTAGCTAGAGCATAATTTTGCAAACCCCAGAGCCAACGCCACGATCTTCATCTTGGTAGAAATTTTCAGAGAAAAAGCTTTATTTGCTGATTGAAATCTGTGTTGAAATTAACTTCGTTTCGAGTTAATTTCAGGGCAGCTATTTGATGAAAATGGACTTATTCTAATTAAAGAATATGCATGCACGTAATGTACATTTCCTTAAATCATTTCATTTGGGAAAGAAAAGAAACAACACAATTTAAATGTATGAAAATATGATGGTTTAATCGTGTTTTAAATAGTAATTGCATCTACTGTCACATTTCCAGTGTGAAAAAACCTGGAAGTTAACAAAAGGCAATGTCGACAAGGCAATTAATTACAGACTTAAACACCAAGTATTTGTTTATTCAGTGGGAAAATCACAATGAAGCTTGTGAATGAATTTTGGTACAAGGTTTGGCATATTCTTTGCATTATAAACTATAAAGATTTAGGCATATCGTTAAGGTCTCTAAAAACCGAGACAATTAATATTCATGGTACATAATTATGCCATGAATGATTCATTATACCGTCTAGCAATTAACACACCTGTGATCCTTTATCAAAAAACCTACCGCAAATATTCCATTTTGTATACTGCGCTACGGGAGGCAAAAATTACCACTGATTTTTGTGTTGAGGTATCTAAATTTCTATAGAAATTAGAGCTATATATCTACGTATTGTGTGACTGTTTAAATAGGTCGGTATAGAAAATGCTTATCGTATAAATATAATAGTGTCGCTGAACAATACTGCATGGGTAGGTAAACGAAACAGCATCAAAAACATGGCAACAACTTAAAGTCAGGTATGTTGGACAACTCTTAGAAGTTAATGCTCTTGCTTCTTTCTACATCTTGTACATATAGCTAAGAATGCTATGATATTCATGCAGGTTTGAAATAATGAAACTAAATATTATTATATATGGTTCTACGATCCGGAAATAGGTTTAGTATATTGAAGTTCCCGTATACATTCAAAGTTCTGCAACAACTTACTGAATCTGTCACAATTTACCATGTACCTTAAAAAGCTATAAAGTTGAACGCGTTCACTAATAAAATAAGCCGAAAATATTGCCTGCAGTGAATACAGGAAATTATGCCTTGTTTAGTTATAAAATACTTTTGGTTTTATCTGGCTAATTTGACTACCATTAATATACTCTATATAAATGTCATTAATCTGCTCTATTTCTTACTGTTATATTACCATAATATACTTAAGTGAGTGCAACAATATTTATCGGTTTATGTCTCGTGAAGAGGCGGCAATAGTCTGACAAACGAAAGCAACACACCCGCATGATCTTTTGTCAAAGAACATACCTGAAATATTCAAAGTTTTAACACTGCACTGCGGGAGACAAATATTATCACTGCTTTTTTTTGTGTTGAGGTATTTAAATCGTATAGAAAATGAGATTTAAGTCTCACAGTATTGCATAAGTGTGAATAGGTATGTACAGATCGTAATTAAAAGAGCGTCGGCAATATACTGTAGGTAAATGAAACCTCATCAAACAGTATGGCAACTTAAAGTCAGGTATGTTCGACAACTTTTTGAAGGTATATAATGCTCTTGCTTCTTCTATATATCTACGTACAAGGTATTATTATATATCTATATAAGGAATGGTATTATATTCGTGCAGGTTTTGATAATGAAACCAATTATTGTTTGATATGGTTCTGCGATTCCGAAATAGTTTTTGCATTGAGGTTGTCGTTATACATTGAAAGACAACTCACTAAATCTCTGTCACAATTTATAATGTAGCTACTTTAAAAACCTATAAAATTGAACGCGTTCTTTAATGAAATCACCGCGAATACTGTCTGCATGTGAATACAGGAAATGATGCCTTAATTGTTTTTCTAAACTCGAATTGGTTTAATCCCTATAGCTAATGGTAATATGCTCCTGTTCGTACTGTATATTAACATAATATTCACGTATTCAAGTCATCATGTATCTGATAAACCAGGTTTTGCTAAGTCTATTCTATTGTAATACTTTCCAAACGAAAAAATAAACGAGATATTACATTATTACATATTATCATTATTAGCATTTAGCATAGTATATATAAACCGCAGAGTTAAAATTCCTGGCGAATTAACGATTTCAAAACTACAACTAGAGCTATTTGATTTCATATAAACTTCCTTAAAAGACGCCCAACGGAAGTTTATAGCAATACCACAATAATTAAATTATTCTTTGTCATGCGGATTTTTGTGGCAATGAATTTCCAAGTATTGTTAAAACACATCGAAAATTGCTTGTTAAAACTCTTTTCACCAATGCAAAGTTTCGCAATGGGGTTCCTATACCAATAAGGAAGCCAGTATACCTAAATAATGACCGATGCATGTAGAGACAAATTTAACAGTGTAATATAAAACAGTTAAGCAGAAATTCTAACAGTTTTTAAACAAGGCCTGGCCTAGTGCATGTATTGCCTGGCTTTGGACTTGATTCCATGCATGTATCTACGAAGCGTTTACGCCTATCTTTTGATCAGACTCACTTTAACCCAAATATTACACTTTTTACAACGACTGGAGAGTAACTTCAAAGAAAAATGCTGAAATGGCGGGCATTTTTCAATGCAATGCATGTCATTCTGGCAAAGAAACGATACCCGTCGTAAGGTCAGTTATTTTCACAGGAATCAATAGTAGAGTTAGTAAAAGATTAAGAGCATAATTGCATGGAATGTGCCTCTATACAAATAGGCACTGTCTACACGATGCCGGAAGAATTTGAAAACGCAAAAATATTTATCCGCGTCAACACGTAAACACAAAAACGACTCGAAAACGCTAAAGTTATTTGATCCCGCAATACACCTTCATGTTTTCCACCCGCGTGTCACAGGTTGGATGTCGAATTCAAAGCAAAAATCTACCAAATACAAAGTGAAAAACAAGAATGAGGACTTTGTTTGGACAAACGACAAGCCCAAACTCATAATTATTGTTGTTGAGTATTTGTTAAGTGCATTTCGTGCATACGAAATTGTGTATATCCATACTCCGACATTTGGACATGTTTCTCTCGTAAAATACTTCCGCAAATGCTACAAGAATTTCCGAAGATTTTCATCATCATGAAAATAACCTAAATAAGACTTATTTGAGGCTAATATACCAATATAAAGTCAAGCATAAGCCACCAGACTTGAAACAAGCCTCATTACAAAGCTGTCCACACGTATCCGCTCAGCCGTTTTTTTGAAATTCTTCCACTGTGGAGAGCGTTTTCAGATTCTTCCGTTTTCAGTGGGCGAAAACGCCGGATACGTGTGGACGGTACGCGTAACCGTAAGAATATTCTTGCGTTTTCAAATTATTCCGGCATCGTGTGGCATAGTATTTGTATTTATAGTTGTTTGTTAAATGAAAAGTAAAAAAATTACAGAAACCACACTATAAGTATTTTAGTAGGCAAATACCAGCGGCGGATCCAGAGTAACTAAGCCAGAACAAATTATTTCTAGAACTCTAATTTGCCCTTCGCATTGGTGGATTTTTTTTCTAATAGAAACCCATAACAAATAGCGCTGTCATTAATGTACTTTGTGAAATTAATGAATAATTAATGAGTCTAACTTGCAATCATTGCGCAGTATTTTGGTCACATGTATACATCTGTAATTCTCCATAAAGGTCTCATGAATTGTTAATTAATATATTAACTTTGATACAATTAATCTTAATTAGTATTCATAACTTTGTTACACACATGCCCTAATATGCATTAAGCTTAATTTATTCATTTCACGTGCTACGCACTCGCCATTGTAAATACCCATACAGATCGGCCGCGAGTATTTTAAATAGTACTTATTTAAAATAAAGAAGCTGTGTAGTAATATATTATAGTTCTAATCCAGGGGCCGCTGCTGATTGTCTGTTCATATCACAACACATCTTACGGTAGTCTTATAGAAAAAATATTATGACTTCTCGAGAAATGACCTATTGTTACTACATGAAAGCACTAGGACCTTAAAAAAAACTTGTAAAATAATTTAATTTTGTGCACGGGAAAAACATACAAATGATTGCATTTTCAATATACCCGGCATGGATTTAGTTCTTGCCTGGCATGAAGATAGTAGGCCAGTCAGATTCTAATGAAAGTTGATTAAGATGACAAGTAAGAGCAAAGGCTGTTTTCCACTTACACCGTAAAAGTCTAAAACCTTATACATGTTACCTTTGAAAATTGAAGGAACTTAGTTTTCTGCATATTTTTGTATGCATTAGTTGACCTAGATGTTAAATAATAAAAATTTAAAGCATTCAAAATTTTCCGTACGTGTACGTGCGTATAAAAAACGCGTAAGTGGAAAGCAGCCTTATGATGATAAGTATATGACCATACAGGCATAACGGAATAACTTCGCTGGACAGGTCTGATGTTTGCCAGACATCTAACACGGAATATATTACAGTTTGCGGAAGTCATCCTGTAAACGACTTTTAAAAAGGATCTTTTTAAACTTTTCACTAGTGGCAGTTCCCTGTATCATTCTCTTGACTGATGTAGATGTGTTATAAGTATGTAATTATTAAGCAAATGTAAAAGATTGTAAGTGCATCTACTTTTCCTATTTGTAAAGCGCCTTGAACTTTAGGATATGTGCATGCGCTATAAAAATCGAGGATATTATTATTATTATTATTATTATATAGACGCTATAAAGATTGCATAGAGTTGATAATCTCATTCTATCTTTAAGTTTGTAAAGGGGTTATATCTTAGCAAATCGAAAAAGAGGGCGAAAAAACGAATGAAGTCGCGCGAAAAAATCTCAGGCACGGGCAGTGAAGAAACCGCCAGAGGTGCTTATGGCGTTTACGAGGTACATCAAGGAAAGTACAGTACTGTCGAGAAATAACCTAATAAAAAACCGCGGTTAACCTAGGTCAAACCTGGGTCTGATCGCGGTTGCATGAACCGAGGTCAGACCGAGCTGTCGAACCGCGGTGAGATGGAGGTTGAACCTCGGCGTATTTCTGTCTGACAGACATTTCTTAAGATTTTTTCGATTTGATTATTGTGTTGTCGTTCTCAGCTGTTCATAACATTCCGTTCGGAAGTGAACGGCCACTGCGAAGGCATTTCTTCCCTTGCCGCCCTCAGGATTTTATCGGTGGACTGCAACTCAATTGTTAGGTTATTTCTGGACAGTACTGTAGCTATAAAAACGTCCTGTTTCTTGTTTATAACTGAACGAAATTAACACCATGCAGCTAATAATTTACGAAATCAACTACGAAATAGATCTAATTAATCATGTGGACTGGCATAGTGCCGAACAGGCGTGGCTATACCTTGTGGACAATATATGTGAACCAGAGTCGTCTAATTATAAATACATTGTTTATTAACTGAGATAAATATTTTCTATTTTTCAAACATATCAATTATCAATAGGACATGTCTGAATATCAACACCCCTCACGAGGATATAACCCATTCACGACACCAGAAGATTCACGTTATAACCCACAGGTGATGTAGCAGATATATGGCCAGTATAGTTTTAATCATTTATGTCAAAAAAGAAGTAAACAACTTTTTTGCTGACGTGTTAATTATATTCATAATAAAACGCCCTGTCCCCTGTTTATCACTGAGCGAAATTAACACCAGCTAATAATTTACGAAATCAACTACGAAATAGATCTAATTAATCATGTGGACTGGCATAGTGCGGAACAGGCGTGGCTATACCTTGTGGACAATATACGTGAACCAGAGCCGTCTAATTATAAATACATTGTTTGTTTATTAACTGAGATAAATATTTTCTATTTTTCAAACATATCAATTATCAATAGGACATGTCTGAATATCAACACCCCTCACGAGGATATAACCCATTCACGACACCAGGAGATTCAAGTTATAACCCACAGGTGATGTAGCAGATATATGGCCAGTATAGTTTTAAACATTTATGTCAAAAAAATGGTAAACAACTTTTTTGCTGACGTGTTAATTATATTTATAATAAAAACGTCCTGTTTCCTGTTTATCACTGAGCGAAATTAACACTAGCTAATAATTTACGAAATCAATTACGAAATAGATCTAATTAATCATGTGGACTGGCATAGTGCCGAACAGGCGTGGCTATACCTTTTGGACAATATATGTGAACCAGAGCCGTCTAATTATAAATACATTGTTTGTTTATTAACTGAGATAAATATTTCTATTTTTCAAACATATCAATTATCAATAGGACTGTGTCGGAATATCAACACCCCTCACGACGATACAACACATTCACCACACCAGAAGTTTCAAGTTATAACCCACAGGTGATGTAGCAGATATATGGCCAGTATAGTTTTAATCATTTATGTCACAAAAATATTAAACAACTTTTTTGCTGACGTATTAATTATATTTATTATAAAAACGTCCTGTTTCCTGTTTATCACTGAGCGATTTTAACACCAGCTAATAATTTACGAAATCAATACGAAATAGATCTAATTAGTCATGTGGACTGGCATAGTGCCGAACAGACGTGCTATACCTTGTGGACAATATATGTGAACCAGAGCCGTCTAATTATAAATACATTGTTTTTTTATGAACTGAGATAAATATTATCTATTTTTCAAACATATCAATTATCAATAGGACATGTCGGAATATCAACGCCCCTCACGACGATACAACACATTCACGACACAAGAAGTTTCACGTTCTAACCCACAGGTGATGTAGCAGATATATGGCCAGTATAGTTTTAATCATTTATGTCACAAAAATGGTAAACAACTTTTTTGCTGACGTGCTAATTATATTTATTATCAATATGAAAAAATCACCGGACACTGATTGGTTGAGAGAAGAATAGTTACGTCATTACTTGTAATGCAGTACAATGAAAGATTTCCTAAAATATATACGAAATAGTAGAATGTTAGCTATATTTGCATATCAACTAGGCCGCCCTATAAGAGCTAAAAGTGCCAGAGCGCCAAACGAAAATACTGGCAGAAAGTACTTGAATATAAATGATCTGGCAGAATTTGGAACGAAAATGATGACAAAAAATCCACTATTGAAATCGTTAAAGTTTAACTGTAATTTCAAGTGGTCCTTTTTTTAGAAATATGAACACCGCAGTGCCAGAACAAGAATTCGTCGTAGACACAAAAACGAATATCCGGAAAAACGCCCAAAAAGAATGTGGAGGACATACAAGACATAGCGATGCTTGGTTTATTTCGTCTGCTTCATATAGCTCACGACCCTAATGAATTATGCCTTTCAAAAATGAAAGAGACGGCTAAAAGAGTACTCGAAGACCAAGGTTCTGGTAGCGGAAAGTATTCATATGGCACAACGGTGATTCTTTTACGAATTATTATATTTACGAAAAGTAAACGCATGCTTTGAGAACTTTTGCCTAGTACTGGTGATGAAATGTCCCACAAAGCGATAAAGTTTAGTAATTACAGGCCAAAGCGTGGTCGAGCGACCTTTGCGTCCCCTTTCGAGCATACGGACGCATTTAATCACTATATATTCCCGAAAGCTTTACGTTTAGATTGTAAAAACATGATTATAACGAGGTTGAAAATTACCTCAGATTTCACCCCTCAAATATCAGGTGTTCTCATCGTAATTCGTTGTCATCACATTTAACATTTTTTAATGAAACGAAGTCGAGGTTTTTATTCAGTGATTTTAAACAAGACTGCGGCAAAAATTATCCACACTTCAACATATTTTCTACTATATTTAAAAGGGATTTGGGGTAATAGCCATGACTAAAGACGAGGATATGTTGAAGAGAAAAACACTGCTGGACTTTAATCTCCAGGTTGACGATTGTGTGAGGCAATTGGGCAGCCACGCGATTGAGGTTCTAGACGTTTACTATAGCGATGGAAGTGTTTTGAATGTTTTGGGAGAAGAAAGGGAGCGCTTAACGAAAACAGAATATAACATCCTTATTGCAGGTATTGAAGGTTGTAGTTGGTTATATATTGAAAGGGCAGGTTGTTCAAACCCCAATTATCAGCGCCAACCCTGTCCTAAGGCTAAACTTCGACCTGCTGTTTTTGTTCTTGCCAGTCGAACACAAAGAGACACAGTAATACATTTCTGGATTTCTGTTCTGTTCAAAACTTAGAAAATTGAGTCTCTATCGAATCGGACAAGATTTCTGAAACATTTACCCATTCAAATTTATAAATGAACTGTTAAAAGCCTGGGGCCGGTTATCACTATCCGGCTAATATCACTATCCGGCTTTCACACAACCGACCCCAGATTTTTAAATGCTTTAGCCATGCAGCTAGAGTTAACCTAACAGACATTTAAACACATACCTCGTGCAGCACCGTGCAGTATGCAATGAAACATTGAAAAAAAATTATCTTTACAATTTTTTAGGCGAAAGTAGCGCCGGAAAAAGTAGTTTAGTCAATCTTATTCTCGGCGAAGAGCTTCTTCCACATCACAATCTCAATACCACCTCCACAATATGCGAGGTAAAACATGGGGAAAAACGAGAATTGATTGCTCACTATAACTACGATGAGGAACAAAGGATGCGGCCCAAACCTGAAATACATCCGTTGAGAACAAAAGAAGAATGCGGCAAAAATTACTGTGAACAAATCGCTCCCTTCGTGCAAAGGAAGTCCAACGAAAGATCTAAATATACTAGAGTAGAAATCTTTTGGCCGCATGAATTACTTGAGGTGAACCGTTGCCTTTCAAATTATTAGGAATTCTTAAATTAAATTAATCAATAATATTCAGAATTCTCTTTGTTTGACACATGGTGGAAATGTGGGATTTCAGAATATTATCTATCTGTTCCTCTGGTACATGTACATATGGTTATCGTTATTGATTTTAAAACCGTATAAGAAAATTGGGGGATTGTAACTGTTTCACTAAGGATTGGAAAAAACTTTGATTACAAAGATGATTATTGAAAATTCTTGCCTCTGATTGGTCGAGCGACCTCGGATTATTATGCGACTAAGCGGATTTTTCAATCCGGCGAGTTGTTTTTGTCAAAGTGACGGATGAAGAAATATGTTATTTTGACGAAAATGCTGTGCCTGAAAGCGCAAAAATTAGACATAAAATTATATAAAAACTATGGTAAAAACTAACGCCAAAATATGCATTGTTTTATTTAAATCGCCGTACTGTCGCTTCGAAATGTACTAATCGAACTGTCGTTTCTACAGCAGATTTTTCTTTCAAAAAATCACCTCTGTATTATTTAGTGATATTCACACCGCCTTCGGAGAATAATTGTTAAATAAATACGATAGTTAATGACTGTATGCACATGCATGCATTACGGTTTAAACTTTCTTTATTCTGTACTTTAGGAAGAAATTGTTATTGTCGATAGTCCAGGCCTGGGTGAATGTGATGAAATGGATGCAGTTCTGATGAATTATCTTCCGAATGCTTTTGCGTTCATTTATGTTCTTGACGTTTCCCGTGCTGGAGGAATACAGAAAGATATCAAAGAGAAGGTGAATAAAGGAAAACTTTAAAATATTTTAATGTCCATAAAATAATATAATTAAGAATTATTAGGCAGAGAAACTATGGTTGAACTCTGAATTTCGAAGGTCATATGTCGCGTGATGTGACGTAGCATCACCACTTCCGGTTTTATTAATCCCGGTGGTTGAAGTATTACCTCCTATCAAACCGGTTCAAACCTGATAAACAAGATTTTGTGGTAAACACTCGGATTTCCCGCCTTTCACGTGACGTAGTCTTAACCAATTAGATTCTGGAACAGACAAACTTCGAAACTTGCTCATATAATATTTTAATACCCTAATATAATTGCGTCTTGACTGATACAATCATATCATTCGTATACTGCAGTTAAGGAACATCTTAAAAAAGGTGAAGTCATCTGATGGCGGCGTTGAGACCCTTCACCATTTAGCCGAATGTTCGCTTTTTATCTGCAATAAATGGGATCAAGTAAAAGAGGAGAAAGGTCAGCAACGAAGAATCATGTCGTCGCAAAGTTAAGAGAGTGTTGGGAAGATTCAAATTTGAATCATCAAATGTGTACATGTCAATAACAGAGGCCATCGAAGTACAGGAATATGGCGGAGTCACAGAAGAGTTCAATGATTTACTCCAAAAAATTAAGACGATGGTTTTGAGGGCAATAAATATTAGGTTGTACAATCACTGGCAGTAAGTATAGACTTTTTATTACATGTGATGAAATAGAAATCGTTTTTCAATGAGTAAATTAACTTTATACAATATTTTGGATGTATGATATTTCCACATGTATATAGAAATGCATATACGGCTTTGGCATTTTGACGGCAATTTGTTGTCATTCTTTTCAAATCAAGATCGCGTCGAGATATATAGGAGTGAAATCCTGCAAACGTAATTGTTAAATTTCAGCACATTTTCTTTATATTCGACACATAAAAAATCTTTCAGAAAGAATATCTAACTTCCGTTGAACAAAATTAGAAAGAACGGTAATAAATATGTTTGATGCATAAAATTTTTATTTTTGTCACTGCTGTATTTTTGTGTTTAAAAGGCTTTGGTTTTCAAATTAATGTCTATACACATTTAAGAATATCATTATAGCTTAGATTTATGCACAGACATTCGTAAATTGCGATGAAAGACACTTTTAGCTAGCGTTATCTATTTACGAAGAAATGAAAATGTTTCGAGATTCAGGTTCAAAAAGAATATTAACAATAGGTTAAATCTCTATATGTGATTTAATACGTTTATTAATATTATTTTTATCATTTATGCTTGTACAAGTTTTTCATTTATTAGCGACCCCTAATGTCTCAAATAAATTAAGTTATCTGGCTGGATTAACTATTGTTATTTCAGATAACCTGCACTATTTAGTTGAATTTCACTTTGTAATTTAAAAAAAGTTTTTCTATGGTGCTAATAAAGTTTATTGTTGTTATTGTTGTATTGTTGTTATTAGCTATAATAGTTGCGAACGTAGCAGCAGTAGGCTACTCTTTTTAATTTACATGAGAAAAGTCCTGATGAAAGGATTTAAATTCCTAATTTGTAGTGCAGAAGCAAAATTGTCTAGATGAGTCTCCAAACTGTTGACTCTTGAGCAGACAATTATATTACGCGTTTCTTTAAAAGAAAACTATTTTTTTCTAGGTCGTTATATGATTGCTGTATCAAATTTATAGAGTAACCTACTTCTTCAACCCAAGAGGTGCAATCAACTCACCAAGAAACCCGTGAACGAATGGAAGAAATCGAGAGACGCATCGAAAAGATTGAACGAAAGAGCAAGATGTAAAGAGAGAAATGGAGGAAAGAGTGAAAACCCAGACCAAAGTTCTCCAAGCCAAACTGAAGTTATATCTACTCGATGGATTTCAAAACGAAATTCTGCTCTTGGACGAATTGTGCACTTCCGAAGGAGAAATAACTTGGGAAATGACAAAGAGAAACATCAAAGAAGCAATTGATAGCCGATTCAAAGAATTGCTAATTGAGTGGGAAAATGGCCATCAAGTTTATGCTGAAATTCATAGGGAGATTCTGGACGAATTTCGTAAAAGGTTAGGCAGATCCTGCGCATTTTCAATTGAAGAGCTTACATATGTATCGTGGCAATTTTCATGTCCAAAAATATTATGCTAAACTAAATGCTTTATTTGGTAATAAATCACGATCTAAATCGCTCAAAAATGTTGTATGTAGTACACATTTCAAAGGCACCTTTCGCATTATAATTCTTTTATATAAAAATAAAGGTCTTACAGGACAGGGCAACGTTTTCGAGAGTTTTTCTTTGTTTCCAAGCAAAAATGGATGCTTAAAGGATACTTGTATAATGCCCTCGTAGGCTGGCATAGCAAACAAAACATCTAATTGTTAGCGTTGTAAAAAAACTAAAGACAAACAATTGGACGAGTATATCGAAAGAGAATACAGAATAGGGGGGCAAAACCAAAGAAAACACTGTACAAAAAGTCATTACCAGTAATAAAAAACTTGATTTTGACAACGCGACTTTCAATATAGTACATTTAATTGTTGATTATTTTCGGTTATTTATATTTTCACACCAATTAGTTAAGTTAAAGTACATTGTTTACTGCCTGTTCTCAAATGTTATCTATATAATTGCCGCTTTAGTTTGAATCTTTTGGAGGAGGAACTCGAAGGTGTTGATAAAGCGATGTATAGTGTGGAAAGACGTGCTTATCATTCAGGGAACAAAAATAAAATTCCCTTAAAGGCGAAAGTTATCTTCGGAGTGATTAGTCCTCTTTTGATTCCATTCGGTGTGGCGGGTTTGGTGATTGGTATGCCAGTTTTGGGAGCATTGGGTATAAAAGGTAAAGTTGATAAAAAAAAGAAGATTCACAAATTCATAAACAATCCGCTTGAACAACTTAGAAAACGATCCGAAAAATTTTTGGAGGAACTTCCAAAAGACTACGTGTTACAATATGCCCAACGCCTGATGGAGAACACCAGAATGGTGCTATCAAGGTATGGAGATCAAATCCCCACCCTGATCGAGGCCGATCGAAAACTGGTGACGCAATTATTTAATGACAGACGAACACAGAGTGAAATATTGGGAATGTATGACCCAATTCAGAAGAAAAGTCTCGAGATTATATATGAAATCCTACCCTGGGGAATTAAGCTCTGTCCAGCAACAATAAATGCCAGTGATCTTGACTGGAAAAAAGACCACCGTTCATGCGTCGGCGAGGGGGAGGTATCTACAGTGTACAAAGGGAAGCTAAAGAATCTTGGAAGAAATAAATCAGAGACTTCTGAAATGAACGTGGCGGTAAAAGTATTCAAGAAACAATTTGATGAACCGAATTCAAGATACTTTTTGCAGGAAGAACTGCAGATTAGGTATGTATCTTGCATTGCGGAACCAACAAACGTCATTATGATCGAGAAAATTTTATTGTCCTAAGCCTTAAATCGAGCGCACACTGTTACACTTTTCACGCATCGACACATCACTCGACCTACATGTGTTCCTAGTGTCACTCGTGTTATAAAATTCAATGCCATCAATGCCGAATGCCTTATGATATTTTGTTCAACACATACGTTCCTGCATGTCCAACCCATTTCAAATGATCCTAACGTGTACGATATCCTTTTTTTCTCTAGAGATTTGAGACATAAAAACGTTCTCAAGTATTTTGGAGCAGCCCGAACTAGTGATAATACTCTTTTATCCAACGACCACCAATTTATATTCGTGATGGAAGCAGCCCGACAAAACCTGCGAAGTGTCATCTTCAAAAACCGAATTCTGACCCCAGCGGAGTCTGAAAACTCCAAACTAGCAATCGGCAAGTTCATTAAGAGGGCGATGGACATAGCGGATGGTTTAAACTACATTCACGAGAGAGGACTTATTCACAGACATCTCAAGCTGGAAAATATTTTGGTTAGTACACTTATACAGTTATTATACTGCATATTTATATTGAGGCTATTAAAGCTATACTTTTCGGCCCTTTAATAGGTAACCTGAGTTAAAAAACTGAGAGATCACCATAAGCTTAATTTTTATTATTGCTATAATGAAGCGATTATTATCACTTTTTAGAAATAAGTATATATAACGCACTTTAAGGAATTCGCGTGACCGAGGGTGAACAATTGTTTCATTTCTTGCCTTTGAACTGTTTTCTTAGGTGTTTTTTAAATTTTGAAAAATTTAAAAATAGTAATTTATTTTTTTGCCCAACAGGAAGACGAGGACGGGACAGCGATGATATCAGATATTGGAATTGTGGGCCAATTTTTGGAAACAGAGAAAAGCATAACTAACCTTGCACCCGAGGTGCTCGAAGACCTCAGGAATCGTACAAAAGCAGCAGATGTTTACAGTTATGGTATTGTATTGTGGGAGATGTGGTATGGCGCCCATGCGTTCAGAGAATTTATGCCTATCGAAAAAGTCCAATTCCGAGAAAAGCTGGTTGAAGGGTATCGTCCAGAAATGGATAACAACAAATCAACATACCAAAAATACATGGGGTCATGGTGGCAAGCTGGGCTACTGAGGTTGAAAAGAGATGGTCAATGAAAGTGTGCTATGATGCATTATCGGATGTGACAGAATGGAGACTGGAATGATGAATGTCCAAATGCGGGGACATTTAAGCACATTTTACTCTATGAAGAACATAGGGCCTATAGCCTGCCATAAACATATATACAAGTAGATAAGCATAGAGGACAATGTTTTGGTATTTTTTGATATAAATTGCACGTTTTAATTGAAATATATAACGCAAACTTAATGAAGCACGAATAGTACTGTCAAAATAGTAGTTGAAAGTAGTTTTTCAAAAACACTCGCGATGTAGCAAATAAGTATCGATTACAGTGTAGTAGTTTGTGCATTTTTAAATATATGTTAACTTTTCTTAACCAGTTTCTGATTTGTTATCGAGACCAACAAACCACCGAGCCAATGATCATTTGTTGTAATAAGTTGCTTTGCAAAATCTGTCATATGAGAACCGCTATTGGCATATTTTTTTGTTTTAGATCGACGTTTTTAGCTACGGTATACTGGTGTGTGAGATGTGTATTTGTGAGCTGCCAAATCAAGCGAAGAGAAAGGAACAATTTGGAAGAATTTCAAATGCTAATATCAAAGCTTTAGTTGAAGCTTGTACGAGGAGAGATTCTAAAACAAGACCGGCAATGGAGGATGCAATTGACTTTTGGCGGCGTATGTAGTGCAAAAATTGTACTGAGATATGTTATACGGAGTTAATAAATTTGGGTTATAAAGCGTTTAGTGTTCTTTATATTCTTATAAAGACTTACCTTACAACGTGTACAGCCACGGGGGATAACATTAATTTTGTCGAAAGTCGTTCAAACAAAACACACTTGATATAATTTAATCTTTAGTATAGGCTATAGCCTATAGCATGTTGAAATCCTCTTTAAACTGGCTTCAAGATCGTACATTGCTTTCTTTTACCAGGTTATTAAATAATTTATCGTCTGTAGGAGCCATTTGCAAATTGTAAGCATCAAATTATCCGCGTGACATACCGGAAGTACATGCATCGTATCCCGGATGTAATGATTCAATTCGACTGTAAAATATCACAAGGTAGCTGGAGCATAATTTTGCAAACCCCAAAACCAACGCCACGATCTTCATTCATATCTTGATAAAAATTTTCAGAGGAATAGCTTTATTTGCTGATTGAAATATGTGTTGAAATTAACTTCGTTTCGAGTTAATTTCAGGGCAGCTATTTGATGAAAATGGACTTATTCTAATTAAAGAATATGCATGCACGTAATGTACATTTCCTTAAATCATTTCATTTCGGAAAGAAAAGAAAACAACATAATTTAATTGTATGAAAATATGATGGTTTAATCGTGTTTTAAATAGTAATTGCATCTACGGTCACATTTCCTGTGTGAAAAAACCTGGAAGTTAACAAAAGGCAACGTCGACAAGGCAATTAATTACAGACTTAAACACCAAGTATTTGTTTATTCAGTGGGAAAATCACAATGAAGCTAGCTTGTGAATGAATTTTGGTACAAGGTTTGGCATATTCTTTGCATTATAAACTATAAAGATTTAGGCATATCGTTAAGGTCTCTAAAAACCGAGACAATTAATATTCATGCTACATAATTATGCCATGAATGATTCATTATACCGCCTGGCAATTAACACACCTGTGATCCTTTATCAAAAAACCCACCGCAAATATTCCATTTTGTATACTGCGCTACGTGAGGCAAAAATTACCACTGATTTTTGTGTTGAGGTATCTAAATTTCTATAGAAATTAGAGCTATATATCTACGTATTGCGTGACTGTTTAAATAGGTCGGTATAGAAAATGCTTATCGTATAAATATAATAGTGTCGCTGAACAATACTGCATGGGTAGGTAAACGAAACAGCATCAAAAACATGTCAACAACTTAAAGTCAGGTATGTTGGACAACTCTTAGAAGTTAATGCTCTTGCTTCTTTCTACATCTTGTACATATAGCTAAGAATGCTATGATATTCATGCAGGTTTGAAATAATGAAACTAAATATTATTATATATGGTTCTGCGATCCGGAAATAGGTTTAGTATATTGAAGTTCCCGGTATACATTCAAAGACAATTCTGCAACAACTTACTGAATCTGTCACAATTTACCATGTACCTTAAAAAGCTATAAAGTTGAACGCGTTCACTAATAAAATAAGCCGAAAATATTGCCTGCAGTGAATACAGGAAATTATGCCTTGTTTAGTTATAAAATACTTTTGGTTTTATCTGGCTAATTTGTCTACCATTAATATACTCTATATAAATGTCATTAATCTGCTCTATTTCTAACTGTTATATTACCATAATATACTTAGGTGAGTGCAACAATATTTATCGGTTTACGTCTCGTGAGGAGGCGGCAATAGTCTGACAAACGATAGCGACACACCCGCATGATCTTTTGTCAAAGAACATACCTGAAATATTCAAAGTTTTAACACTGCACTGCGGGAGACAAATAGTATCACTGCTTTTTGTGTTGAGGTATTTAAATCGTATAGAATATGAGATTTAAGTCTCACAGTATTGCATAAGTGTGTTTAAATTGGTATGTACAGATCGTAATTAAAAGAGCGTCGGCAATATACTGTAGGTAAATGAAACCTCATCAAACAGTATGGCAACTTAAAGTCAGGTATGTTCGACAACTTTTTGAAGGTATATAATGCTCTTGCTTCTTCTATATCTACGTACAAGGTATTATTATCTATATAAGGAGTGGTATTATATTCGTGCAGGTTTTGATAATGAAACCAATTATTGTTTGATATGGTTCTGCGATTCCGAAATAGTTTTTGCATTGATCGAGGTTGTCGTTATACATTGAAAGACAACTCACTGAATCTCTGTCACAATTTATAATGTAGCTACTTTAAAAACCTATAAGATTGAACGCGTTCTTTAATGAAATCACCGCGAATACTGCCTGCATGTGAATACAGGAAATGATGCCTTAATTGTTTTTCTTAACTCGAATTGGTTTAATCCCTATAGCTAATGGTAATATGCTCCTGTTCGTACTGTTATATTAACATAATATTCATGTATTCAAGTCATCATTGTATCTGATAAACCTGGTTTTGCTAAGTCTATTCTATTGTAATACTTTCCAAACGAAAATTGATAAACGAGATATTACATTATTACATATTATCATTATTAGCATTTAGCATAGTATATTAAACCGCAGCGTTAAAACCCCTTGCGAATTAATGATTTCAAAACTACAACTAGAGCTATTTGATTTCATATAAACTTCCTTAAAAGACGCCCAACGGAAGTTTATAGCAATACCACAATAATTAAATTATTCTTTGTCATGCGGATTTTTGTGGCAATGAATTTCCAAGTATTGTTAAACACACCGAGAATTGCTTGTTAAACTCTTTTCACCAATACAAATTAAGTTTCGCTGTAGGGTTCCTATACAAATAAGGAAGCCAGTATACCTAAATAATGACCGATGCATGTAGAGACAAATTTAACAGCGTAATATAAACAGTTAAGCAGAGAAACAGTTTTTAAACAAGACCTGGCCTAGTGCATGCATGCTTGGCTTCGGAATTGATTTCCATGCATGCATCTACGAAGCGTTTACGCTTATATCTTTTGATCAGACTCACTTTAACCCAAATATTACACTTTTTACAACGACTGGAGAGTAACTCAATGCAATGCATGCCATTCCGGCAAAGAAACGATACCCGTCGTAAGGTCAGTTATTTTCACAGGAATCAATAGTAGAGTTAGTAAAAGATTAAGAGCATAATTGCATGGAATGTGCCTCTATACATATAGGCACTGTCTAGACGATGCCGGAAGAATTTGAAAACGCAAAAATATTTATCCGCGTCCACACGTAAACACAAAAACGACCCGAAAACGCTAAAGTTATTTGATCCCGCAATACACCTTCATGTTTTCCACCCGCGTGTCACAGGTTGGATGTTGAATTCAAAGCAAGAATCTACCAAAAAAAAAGTGAAAAACAAGAATGAGGACTTTGTTCGGACAGACGACAAGCCCAAACTAATAATTATTGTTGCTGAGTATTTGTTAAATGCATTTCGTGCATACGAAATTGTGTATAACCCAGTGAACTATAATAAATAACTGGAACGATACCTCATCATTGTTTTTGTGAAGCCAAAATTTGCGGGACTTTACCTCCAGACACGCGTGTCTGGAGGTAAAGTCTCGCAAATTTTGGCAAATTTTTGGCTTCATTCGCGCGTGACTTGCGAGACACTGCAGATGCAGAGCGAATTTGAAAGAAATTTGATTTTTTGTTTGTTTCATGGTTTTAAATGTTTTTTTTTTATGGAATTATAATGGAATTACTCTTAAATTCAACCAGGTGAACTGTTTTACGAATTACAACTGGAGTTGCCGATCAGATTGGGAACAAATTTTCTTAAACGGAACAAGTTTATAGCGATGTGCAATTTTGACAACAATATTTGTACGAAACGGATATCCTAAAGCTAGAATTTCATCGCAAAATACACTTGGTAGACATTGTTTAATATTATAAGTTTATATTTATTTAATTTCAAGTGACTAGATGGCAAAAAAGTTGTATTAATTGTAAAGTAAAACAAATATTCCTGCATTGTTACGCTAGGCTCTACACTTTTCCTAGCAAAGAACCGTCTTACTCCGCATTTCCAATAATAGGTCCATAAAATGCATTCTACCAACATCAAGAATGTCTCAGCCGGCTGTAAGCACTAACAAAATCAGTTATTTAACTCCCTAAAAAAATTTTCGGGGAGTTTTTATCAAATTTACGAAATCACAAAAAAAAATTTTGTTTTGGCCGTGTTTGTTTTTGCGTGTAAAGACTGGGGGTGACTTAGCTTCAACTTCCTGTCAGAAGGTAGCGTTCCAGTTATATTCATTTCACTGGTATAACCATACTCCGACATTTTGGACATGTTTCTTTCGTAAAATACTTCCGCAAATGCTACAAGAATTTCCGAAGATTTTTATCATCATGAAAATAACATAAATAAGCCTTATTTGAGGCTTATATAGCAATATAAAGTCGAGCATAAGCCACCAGACTTGAAACAAGCCTCATTAATATGGAAACGACTTGATGCGTGACGTCATCGTTTTAATAGGGACCTTAAGCATGTAGGACGCGAACGCGACGACGACGGCTATCAATACAATGGGTTATTGAAAAGAAATGAACAATTAAAGACCCATGATGGGTTTTAGACGTCGTCTTCGTTCTGTTTACAACGGAAAAACGTCGTTTTTTACGTCTTGCCTACAACGGTCGCATTTCAGGACCCAGCGAGCCCTACCTCGAATTGGGCTCTATAGAATTGTCCTTAAACATAAACACAATTTTTTTAACGCCTTATATCTCACTAAATCGGAACAATTAATAATATACAACAACCACTTTGCCATAGCATTTATTTAAACGAGAATTTCAGCCGCGTCGTCGTCGTGTTGCCGTCCAACATGCTTAAGGTCCCTATTTATTCGGCAAAGCTGTCCACACGTATCCGCTCAGCCGTTTTTTTGAAATTCTTCCACTGTGGAGAGCGTTTTTAGATTCCTCCGTTTTCAGTGGGCGAAAACGCCGGATACGTGTGGACGGTACGCGTAACCGTAAGAATATTCTTGCGTTTTCAAATTATTCCGGCATCGTGTGGCATAGTATTTGTATTAATAGTTGTTTGCCGGTTAAAAAAAAGGTAAAAAAATTGCAGAAACCGCACTATAAGTATTTTGGTAAGCAAATACCAGCGGCGGATCCAGAGTAATTAAGCCAGAACAAATTATTACTAGAACTCTAATTTGCCCTTCGCATTGGTGGATTTTTTTTCTAATAGAAACCCATAACCAATAGCGCTGTCATTAATGTACTTTATTTAAAATAAAGAAGCTGTGTAGTAATATATCATAGTTCTAATCCAGAGGCCGCTGCTGATTGTCTGTTCATATCACAACACATCTTACGGTAGTCTTATAGAAAAATATTATGAGTTCTCGAGAAATGACCTATTGTTACTACATGAAAGCACTAGGACCTTAAAAAAAACTTGTAAAATAATTTAATTTTGTGCACGGGAAAAACATACAAATGATTGCATTTTCAATATACCCGGCATGGATTTAGTTTTTGCCTGGCATGAAGATAGTAGGCCAGTCAGATTCTAATGAAAGTTGATTAAGATGACAAGTGAGAGCAAAGGCTGTTTTCCAGTTACACCGTAAAAGTCTAAAACCTTATACATGTTACCTTTGAAAAAACTAAGGGGCTGTTTACATGAGCCCGGTTACCCGAGATTCAACGAAGCGTGAGATGATTTTGAGGTATTGAAATGAGCAGATAACATGATCCTGGCAATCGTATTATCACCACAACAATAGCATGTGCTTGTTTGGTGTCATAAAGATTTATTTCAATACCTCAAAGTCCTCTCACGCTTCGTTGAATCTCGGGTAACCGGGCTCATGTAAACCGCCCCTAAGTGAATAAATTGAAGGAACTTAGTTTTCTGCATATTTTTGTATGCATTAGTTGACCTAGATGTAAATTTAAAGCATTCAAAATTTCCCGTACGTGTACGTGCGTATAAAAAACGCGTAAGTGGAAAGCAGCCTTATGATAATAAGTATATGACCATACAGGCATAACGGAATAACTTCGCTGCACAGGTCTGATGTTTGCCAGACATCTAACACGGAATATATTACAGTTTGCGGAAGTCATCCTGTATATCTACGTTTAAAAAAGATCTAAAAACTTATCTTTTTAAACTTTTCATTAGTGACAGTTCCCTGTATCATTCTGTTGACTGATGTAGATGGGTTATAATTAATATATATAATTATATAAATAATTGTATCTACTTCTCCTATTTGTAAAGCGCCTTGAACTTTAGGATATGTGCGCTATAAAAATCGAGGATATTATTATTATTATTATTATTATTATATAGACGCTATAAAGATTGCATATTGCAGAATGACATGATAATCTCATTCTATCTTTATCTTATAGTTTGTAAAGAGGTTATATCTTAGCAAATCGAAAAAAAGAGGGCGAGATACGAACTAAGTCGGCGCGAAAAAATGTCAGGCACGGGCAGTGAAGAAACCGCCAGAGGTGCTTATGGCGTTTACGAGGTACATCAAGGAAAGTACAGTACTGTCCAGAAATAACCCAATAAAAAACCGCGGTTAACCTAGGTCAAACCTGGGTCTGATCGCGGTTGCATGAACCGAGGTCAGACCGAGGTCGAACCGCGGTGAGATGGAGGTTGAACCTCGTCCTATTTCTGACTGACAGACATTTCTTAAGATTTTTTCGATTTGATTATTGTGTTGTCGTTCTCAGCTGTTCATAACATTCCGTTCGGAAGTGAACGGCCACTGCGAAGGCATTTCTTCCCTTGCCGCCCTCAGGATTTTTATCGGTGGACCGCAACTCAATTGTTAGGTTATTTCTGGACAGTACTGTAGCTATAAAAACGTCCTGTTTCCTGTTTATAACTGAGCGAAATTAACACCAGCTAATAATTTACGAAATCAACTACGAAATATATCCAATTAATCATGTGGACTGGCATAGTGCAGAACAGGCGTGGCTATACCTTGTGGACAATATATGTGAAGCAGAGCCGTCTAATTATAAATACATTGTTTGTTTACAAATTGAGATAAATATTTTCTATTTTTTAAACATATCAATTATCAATAGGACATGTCTGAATATCAACACCCCTCACGAGGATATAACCCATTCACCACACCAGAAGATTCACGTTATAACCCACAGGTGATGTAGCAGATATATGGCCAGTATAGTTTTAATCATTTATGTCAAAAAAATGGTAAACAACTTTTTTGCTGACGTGCTAATTATATTTATAATAAAAACGTCTTGTTTATCACTGAGCGAAATTAACACCATGCAGCTAATAATTTACGAAATCAACTACGAAATAGATCTAATTAATCATGTGGACAGGCATAGTGCCAGACAGGCGTGGCTACACCTTTTGGACAATATATGTGAACCAGAGCCATCTAATTATAAATACATTGTTTGTTTATTAACTGAGATAAATATTTTCTATTTTTCAAACATATCAATTATCAATAGGACATGTCGGAATATCAACACCCCTCATGACGATACAACACATTAACGACACCAGAAGAATCACGTTATAACCCACAGGTGATGTAGCAGATATATGGCCAGTATAGTTTTAATCATTTATGTCAAAAAAGAAGTAAACAACTTTTTTGCTGACGTGTTAATTATATTTATAATAAAACGCCCTGTCCCCTGTTTATCACTGAGCGAAATTAACACCAGCTAATAACTCACGAAATCAACCAAGAAATAGATCTAATTAATCATGTGGACTGGCATAGTGCAAGACAGGCGTGGCTACACCTTTTGGACAATATATGTGAACCAGAGCCGTCTAATTATAAATACATTGTTTGTTTATTAACTGAGATAAATATTTATCATTTTTCCAACATATTAATTATCAATAGGACATGTCGGAATATCAACACCCCTCACGACGATATAGTAACAGATACACGACACCAGAAGATTCACGTTATAACCCACAGGTGATGTAGCAGATATATGGCCAGTATAGTTTTAATCATTCATGTCAAAAAAATAGTATACAACTTTTTTGCTGACGTGCTAATTATATTTATAATAAAAACGTCTTGTTTATCACTGAGCGAAATAAACACCATGCAGCTAATAATTTACGAAATCAACTACGAAATAGATCTAATTAATCATGTGGACTGGCATAGTGCCGAACAGGCGTGGCTATACCTTGTGGACAATATATGTGAACCAGAGCCGTCTAATTATAAATACATTGTTTGTTTATTAACTAAGAAAAATATTTTCTATTTTTCAAACATATCAATTATCAATAGGACATGTCTGAATATCAACACTCCTCACGACGATACAACCCATTCACCACACCAGAAGATTCACGTTATAACCCACAGGTGATGTAGCAGATATATGGCCAGTATAGTTTTAATCATTTATGTCAAAAAAATAGTAAACAACTTTTTTGCTGACGTGTTAATTATATTTATAATAAAAACGTCCTGTTTCCTGTTTATCACTGAGCGAAATTAACACCATGCAGCTAATAATTTACGAAATCAATTACAAAATAGATCTAATTAATCATGTGGACTGGCATAGTGCCGAACAGGCGTGGCTATACCTTTTGGACAATATATGTGAACCAGAGCCGTCTAATTATAAATACATTGTTTGTTTATTAACTGAGATAAATATTTTCTATTTTTCAAACATATCAATTATCAATAGGACATGTCGGAATATCAACACCCCTCACGACGATACAACACATTCACGACACAAGAAGAATCACGTTATAACCCACAGGTGATGTAGCAGATATATGGCCAGTATAGTTTTAATCATTTATGTCACAAAAATGGTAAACAACTTTTTTGCTAACGTGCTAATTATATTTATTATCAATATGAAAAAATCACCGGACACTGGTTGGTTGAGAGAAGAATAGTTACGTCATTACTTGTAATGCAGTACAATGAAAGATTTCCTAAAATATATACGAAATAGTAGAATGTTAGCTATATTTGCATATCAACTAGGCCGCCCTATAAGAGCTAAAAGTGCCAGAGCGCCAAACGAAAATACTGGCAGAAAGTACTTGAATATAAATGATCTGGCAGAATTTGGAACGAAAATGACGACAAAAAATCCACTATTGAAATCGTTAAAGTTTAACGGTAAATTCAAGTGGTCCTTTTTTTAGAAATGTGAACACCGCAGTGCCACAAGAATTCGTCGTAGACACCAAAAACGAATATCCGGAAAAACACCCAAAAAGAATGTGGAGGACATACAAGACATAAGCGAAATGCTTGGTTTATTTCGTCTGCTCCATATAGCTCACGACCCTACTAAATTAGGTCTTTCCGAAATGAAGAAGACGGCTAAAAGAGTACTCGAAGACCAAGGTTCTGGCAGCGGAAAGTATTCATATGGCACAACGGTGATTCTTCTACGAATTATTATATTTACGAAAAGTAAACGCATGCTTTGAGAACTTTTGCCTAGTACTGGTGATGAAATGTCCCACAAAGCGATAAAGTTTTAGTAAAGGGTTAGCAGGCCAAAGCATGGTCGAGCGACCTTTGCGTCACCTTTCGAGCATACGGACGCATTTAATCACTAATATACCCGAAAGCTTTACGTTTAGATTGTAAAAACATGATTATAACGAGGTTGAAAATTGCCTCAGATTTAACCCTTCAAATCTCATCGTAACTCGTTGTCATCACATTTAACATTTTTTTGATGAGACGAAGTCGAGGTTTTTATTCAGTGATTTTAAACAAGACTGCGGCAAAAATTATCCACACTTCAACATATTTTCTACTATATTTAAAAGGGATTTGGGGTAATAGCCATGTCAAAAGACGAGGATATGTTGAAGAGAAAAACACTGCTGGACTTTAATCTCCAGGTTGACGATTGTGTGAGGCAATTGGGCAGCCACGCGATTGAGGTTCTAGACGTTTACTATAGCGATGGAAGTGTTTTGAATGTTTTGGGAGAAGAAAGGGAGCGCTTAACGAAAACAGAATATAACATCCTTATTGCAGGTATTGAAGGTTGTAGTTAGTTATATTGTAAGGGCAGGTTGTTCAAACCCCAACTATCAGCGCCAACCCTGTCCTAAGGCTAAACTTTTACCTACTGTTTTTGTTCTTGCCAGTCGAACACAAAGAGACACAGTGATACATTTCTGGATTTCTGTTCTGTTCAAAACTTAGAAAATTGAGTCTGTATCGAATCGGACAAGATTTCTGAAACAACCCATTCAAATTTATAAATGAACTGTTAAAAGCCTGGGGCCGGTTGTACGAAGGCTGGAGAGCGCTATCCACATCTTGTATCAAGCCCGTTTAGCTTAAACGGTGCATGGATAAGTCAAAACTAAATAACACCCTTACATCTCTCTTGAATGGGTCAACTTGAATATTATGCATTAATAAATTATGTAGTTGTAAATAGTAACTTTGTATTAAGGTTAAAAACATTTAGTTCGCTTGTTGAATAAAACGAAAGACTTGCTTTTTATTTTGAACTTATCCACCGTTTAAGCTAAACGGGCTTGATACAACCGGCCCCAGGTAGTAATTTTTTCAACCGTTTAGAAAATGCTCGAAAAGCGATAAAATTTCATTTTTGGAACGAACAATTATTAAAGAGAATCCTCGATTTAGAAATACTAAGATTGAATCAAAGTTATAGCAAACGACGGGCGATTTTAAAACGATTAAAAATATCGCTATCCGGTGGATAGCGCTATCCAACCAGCCCCAGATTTGAGCAGCAAGAGTTAACAGACATTTAAACACATACCTCGTGCAGCAACATGCAGTATGCAATGAAACATTGAAAAAAATTCTCTTTACAATTTTTAGGTGAAAGTAGTGCTGGAAAAAGTAGTTTAGTGAATCTTATTCTCGGCGAAGAGCTTCTTCCACATCATGTTCTCAATACCACTTCTACAATATGCGAAGTAAAATATGGGAAGGAACGAAAATTGATTGCTCACCATAACTACGATGAGAAACAAAGGATGCGGCCTAAACCTGAAATTTATTTGTTGAAAACAAAAGAAGAATGCGGCAAGAATTACTATGAACAAATCGCTCCCTTCGTGCAAAGGAAGTCCAACGAGGGATCTAAATATACTAAAGTAGAAATCTTTTGGCCGCATGAATTACTTGAGGTGAACCTTTTCATTTCAAATTAATTAGAATTGAGCAATAATATTTAGAATTCTCTTCGTTTGACACATGGTGGAAATGTAGGATTTCAGAATTGATCAGTCTATCTGTTCCTCTGATACATGTACATATATAGTTACCGCGTTATTGGTTTTAAAACCGTATAAGAAAATTGGAAGATAGTAACTAAAATATTTCACTAAGGATTGGAAAAACTTTGGTTACAAATGTGATTATTGAAAATTCTGGCCTCTGATTGGTCGAGCGACCTTGGATTATTATGCGACTAAGCGGATTTTTCAAAAACAAATCCGGCGAGTTGTTTTTGTCAAAGTGACGGATGAAGAAATATGTTATTTTGACGAAAATGCTGTGCCTGAAAGCGCAAAAAAAGTGAAAAATTGTACATAAAATTAATTTCATGGTAAAAACTACTTTTAGAACGCTTTTCAACTTTATTTCGCGAAAATATGCATTGTTTTATTTGAATCGTCGCAAAACTGTCGCTTCTACAGCAGATTTTTCTTTCAAAAAACCACCTTTGTATTATTTAGCGATATTCACACCGCTTTCGGGGAATAATTGTTAAATAAATACGATAGTTAATGACTGTATGCATTCATTACGGTTTAAAACTTTCTTTATTCTGTATTTTAGGAAGAAATTGCTATTGTCGATAGTCCAGGTCTGGGTGAATCTGATGAAATGGATGAAGTTCTGATGAATTATCTTCCGAATGCTTTTGCGTTCATTTATGTTCTTGACATTTCCCGTGCTGGAGGAGTACAAAAAGATATCAAAGAGAAGGTAAATAAAGGAAAACTTATTAATATTTGAAAGTCCATAATTATTATAATTAAGACTTATTGACAACGGGTGAAAATACGCGACAAAGACGTTGGTAGAGAAACTTTGGCTGAACTCTGAATTTCGTTGTGACTTAGCATCACGACTATCGATTAATCCTGGTAGTTAAAGAATTAACCCCCCTTCAAACTGGTTCAAACCTTCGACAAACGAGGTTTTGCGGTAAACATTCGGACTTCCCGCTTTTCACGTGACGTAGTCTTAACCAATCAGATTCTGGAACAGATAAACTTCGAAACTTGCTATATAATAATAATATTTAATACCATAATATAATTGCGTCTTGACTGATACAATCGTATTACTCGTATATTGCAGCTAAGGACCATCTTAAAAAAGGTGAAGTCCTCCAGTGGCGGCGCTGAGACCCTTCAACATTTAGCCGAATGTTGGCTTTTTATCTGCAGTAAGTGGGATCAAGTAAAAGAAAATGAAAAGTCAGAAACGAAGGAACATGTCGTCGCAATGTTAAGAGAGGGTTGGGAAGATTCAAGTTTGAATCATCAAATTGTGTACATGTCAATAAAAGAGGCCATCAAAGTACAGGAATATGGCGGAGTCACAGAAGAGTTCAATGATTTACTCCAAAAATTAAGCGATGGTTTGAGGGCAATAAATATTAGGTTTACAATCACTGGCAGTGTATGTAACTTTTTTTACATGTGATGAAATAGAATCGTTTTTCATGAGTAAATTAACTTTATACATATTTTGGATGTACGATATTTCCCCATGTATATATAGAAATGCATATACGGATTCGGCATTTTGACGGCAATTTTTGTCATTGTTTTCAAATTAAGATCGCGTCGAGATATATAGGAGTGAAAATCCGTGCAAACGTATTTGTCAAATTTCAGCACATTTTCTTTATATTCGACACATAACAAAATCTTTCAGAAAGAATATCTAACTTCCGTTGAACAAAATTACAAAGAAACTGAACGGTAATAAATATGTTTTGATGCATAAAATTTTGATTTTTGTCATTCGCTGTATTTTTGTGTTTAAAAGGCTTTGGTTTTCAAATTAATGTCCATACAAATTTAAGAATATCATTATAGCTTATATTTATGCGCAGACATTCGTAAATTGCAATGAAAGACACTTTTAGCTACTCGTTATCTATTTACGATAAAATAAAAATGTTTCCTAGATTCAGGTTCAAAAAGAATATCATTAACAACAGGTTAAATCAGTGTATGTGATTTAATAACGTTTATTAATATTATTTTTACTATTTTATGTTTGTACAAGTTTTTCATTTATCAGCGACCCCATAACGTCTCAAATAAATTAGAGGTTATCTTACTGGATTAACTATTGTTATTTCAGATAACCTGCACTATTGAGTTTAATTTCACTTTGTAATTGAAAAAAAAGTTTTTCTATGGTGCTAATAAAGTTTATTATTTTGTTATTGTGGTTATTGTTGTTATTAGCTATAATAGACAGGTTTGCGAACGTAGCAGCAGTACGCGCTACTCTTTTTACATTATTTTTTACAAAAAAAGATTTTTTTGTAGTGCAGAAACAAAATTGTCTAGATGAGTCTCCGAAACTGTTGACTCTTGAGCAGACAATTATATTACGCGTTTCTTTAAAAAAAAACCTATTTTTTTCTAGGTCGTTATATGAATTGCTGTATCAAATTTATAGAGTAACCTACTTCTTCAACCAAGAGGTGCAATCAACTCACCAAGAAACCCGTAAACGAATGGAAGAAATCGAGAAACGCATCAAAGAAATTGAACGAAAAGAGCAAGATGTAAAGAGAGAAATGGAGGAAAGAGTGAAAACCCACACCAAAGTTCTCCAAGCCAAACTCGAAGTTTATATCTACTCGATGGATTTCAAAACGAAATTCTGCTCTTGGACGAATTGTGCACTTCCGAAAAGAGAAATAACTTGGGAAATGACAAAGAGAAACATCAAAGAAGCAATTGATAGCCGATTCAAAGAATTGCTCATTGAGTGGGAAAATGGCCATCAAGTTTATGCTGAAATTCATAGGGAGATTCTGGACGAATTTCGTAAAAGGTTAGGCAGATCCTGCGCATTTTCAATTGAAGAGCTTACATATGTATCGTGGCAATTTTCATGTCCAAAAATATTATGCTAAACTAAATGCTTTATTTGGTAATAAATCACGATCTGAATCGCTCAAAAATGTTGTATGTAGTATACATTTCAAGGTACCTTTCGCATTATAATTCTTTTATATAAAAAATAAAGGTCTTACAGGACAGGGCAACGTTTTCGAGAGTTTTTTTTTGTTTCCAAGCAAAAATGGATGCTTAAAGGATACTTGTATAATGCCCTTTTAGGCTAGCATAGGAAACAAGATATCTAATTGTTAGCGTTGTAAAAAAACTAACAATTGGACGAGTGTATCGGGAGAGAATACAGAATAGGGGAACAAAACCTAAGAAAACACTGTACAAAAAAATCATTAATCAACTACGACCAGTCATATAAAAGTTGATTTTGACAACGCGACTTTTAATATAGTACATTTAATTGTTGATTATTTTCGGTTATTTATATTTTCACGCCAATTAGTTAAGTTAAAGTACATTGTGTACTGCCTGTTTTTAAATGTTATCTATATAATTGCCGCTTTAGTTTGAATCTTTTGGAGGAGGAACTTGAAGGTGTTGATAAAGCGATATATAGTGTGGAAAGACGTGCTTATCATTCAGGGAACAAAAATAAAATTCCCTTAAAGGCGAAAGTTATCTTCGGAGTGATTAGTCCTCTTTTGATTCCATTCGGTGTGGCGGGTTTGGTGATTGGTATGCCTGTTTTGGGAGCATTGAGTATGAAAGATAAAGTAAGTACAAAAAAGAAGTTTGACAATTACCAAAAAAATCCGCGTGACTATCTGAAAAAAGAATCTGAAAAATATCTGGAGCGACTGCCGAAAGAACACGTGTTAGAATATGCTCAACGCCTGATGGAGAACACCAAAATGGTGCTATCAAAATATGGAGATAAAATTCCCATCCTGATTGAGGCCAATCGTAAACTGGTGATGCAATTAATTAATGATACCCGAAGTCAGGATGAAATATTGGGAATGTATGACTCAATTCAGAAGAAAAGTCTCGAAATTATATATGAAATCCTACCCTGGGGAATTAAGCTCTGTCCAGCAACTATAAATGGCAGTGATCTTGACTGGGAAAAAGACCACAGTTCATGCCTCGGCGAGGGGGAGGTATCCACAGTGTACAAAGGGAAGCTAAAGAATCTTGGAAGAAATAAATCACAGACTTCTGAAATGAACGTGGCGGTAAAAGTATTCAAGGGACCATTTGATGAACCGAATTCAAGATACTTTTTGCAAGAAGAATTCCAGATTAGGTATGTATCTTATTTTGCGGAACCAACAAACGTCATTATGATCAAGAAAAAATAATTGTCCTAAGCCTTAAATCGAGCGCACACTGTTACACTTTTCACGCATCGACACATTACTCGACCTACACGCGTTCCTAGTGTCACTCGTGTTATAAAATTCAATCCCATTAATGCATGCCGAATGCCATTATGATATTTTGTTCAACACATATACGTTCCTGCATGTCCAACCCACTTCAAATGATCCTAACGTGTACGATATCCTTTTTTTCTCTAGAGATTTGAGACATAAAAACGTTCTCAAGTATTTTGGAGCAGCCCGAACTAGTGATAATACTCTTTTATCCAACGACCACCAATTTATATTCGTGATGGAAGCAGCCAGACAAAACCTGCGAAGTGTCATTTTCAAGAACCAAATTCTGACCCCAGCGGAGTCTGAAAACTCCAAACTAGCAATTGGCAAGTTCATTAAGAGGGCGATGGACATAGCAGCTGGTCTAAACTACATTCACGAGAGAGGACTAATCCACAGACATCTCAAGCTGGAAAATATTCTGGTTGGTACCTCATAACTTTTTATAACTGACATTGTATATTCTGCTTGTGATACTCGGAAGCGAGTACAAGAAAACACAAGACACAAATTCTTTCAGTCGAAATTTCGGAAAGACAGGATTATCTTAAGAACTACCAACGTCGATACATTTTCGGATCTAACATAGGGCGAAAGTCATATTTCAAAACGCATAACTTCATGCTCCGATTTTCGTTTATAGTTTCATTACAACCACGATTTTTGTGAAGCACGTAGTTTTTAGCGGAGGAATGAGAAGGCAACGAGGCTCCCATGAATGTTCATGTAACTCCAGCCACGCAACACTCGCAAAACAACCAACTGCTCGAGTCCATGCAGTAAATTCAAACTAACCGATTACAAAGGAAGAAATGGAGTGATTTAACTCCCTTAAGGTGCAAATCAGCTTGATAAGTCCTTAATTTAAAGATAAATTTGAATATTTAATTACCATTTTATCACTAAAAATCGTCCGACCGACTGGACCTAGATTCGCCTAAAATGCTGACCGGATTGTTAAAAATTTCAAAGCATTAATCTTTCGCCTACAGGAAGATGAGGATGGGACCGCGATGATATCTGATGTTGGGATTGTGGGACGATTTCTGGAAACAGAGAAAAGCATGCCTTATCTTGCACCTGAAGTACTTGAAAACTTGACGAATCGCGCAAAAGAAGCAGATATGTATAGTTATGGTATTGTGTTGTGGGAGATGTGGTATGGCACCCAGGCATTCACAGAACTTATGCCTACCGACAAGGTCAAATTTCGAGAAAAGATAGCAAATGGGTACCGTCCAAAGATCGACCGCACAACGAACAACATTCCAGAAATACATGCTGTCATAGTGAGATGTTGGGCCACTGAAGCAGAAGAAAGGCATTCTGCCAACGAATGCTATGAGATGTGCTACGAGATATTTCAAGAAATGATTGAAAAAGGAGTCAGCGAAATGTTGGCAAAAGAGTAAGCAAAATGATAGGCTTGCGTGGTCTTTACGGAGAGATATCGGATATCGCATATTTCGTTCATAACAACAGGCTCGACCTGTACCAAAAGACAGCGATCAGATAATTCTCGGTAAAGACCTCGCACTCGGTTAATAAGAACCGAGATAAAATCATATTACACGGATTTAATTTTATGTTCGAAACAGAAACAGCACACAACTGTTTTGTTGAAAAAGAATGCTTTGAGTGCCCCAGTGTTCCGTTTTTCCCGTATTTTTGCTCTGCTTTACCCCACAAGAGCTAATAATATCGTCTGCTATTATAATACTCTTAGCTAACCCTTATGTAGTGTTTATGAGTTATACGATTTGAGTGTTTTTGCCAATAACACCACTCCCCATTATCATAAAGTAAAAATAAAAAATTGACATGAAATGTCTACCGATAAGACATAGTCTTCAGGCCATGTCGCGATTATACATTAATAATAATAACTAATAACAAATTATTTTGCCTATACGCCTTAATACACAAATTAATTTTAGTCCGTTTGGTTAATAAGTGATGTAGGAGTTACCCAAACCAGTTTTTCACAAATATTAAAGTAAACTTGGAGCATAAAAACTTACCCCGATCCTCACCTCGCCGTAAGAGTGGTGAGGAATAAAACGTTGTATAATAATATCTAATTAAAATTGACTGTTCTTCTTTATTTATGAAAAATCAGATGTCATCAAGGAGTAAAACCTATATTTTGATTCTAATTCTAGCCGACGATGTGTTGAAATGTTATGCACAGAACCATCTGAACAAATACAGTTAACATCTCCACCACCAGAAAATACATCCCATCAGGAATTTGAACAGTCCGAAATCAACAGGGAAACTCTATTGAAAGCACTTGCCGATATTGAGAAAGAGATTGAAAACTTAAATCAGGTCAATCTGGCAACACGAGTGAAAGACTTGCGAGCGCAGGTTAGTGTTGTTTTGGAAGTACACTCTGACGATATCACACGCCTAAACGCTGAAATCGATAGTCTCAAAGAGCAAGTTGAAATGTTGAAAGCAAAAAATGACGAGTTAAATAATAAAAACGAGCAGCTCATGAATAAATTAGCGGTTGCCCAAACAACTTGGGAGTGGGAAGCACACTTAGCAAGATTTGTGACCGAACCCCGAACACGAATCTATCCATATGCCAGGTTTAAACAAATGCAACGGTACCTTAAAACAGTAGGAGCAACAGACAACCTTTGGACGAAGATACAAAAAAATTATGGTGTATGGACTGATGACCATTGGGAAATGGTCAATACTGTGAGATTGGAGAGAAATTGTATTGCACATCCGGATTTTCTCGAACTTGATCTCGTAGAATCTGAAGTGCTGAAGATGTCACCACACTTTCATGAACCCATGCGAGACATGTTGGCAATGCTAAAGACGACTGCCAGTTTGATGAAATTTGGAAGGCTAGCAAAGTTCTTCACCAGAAACAACTTATTTCCGTCTGGAATGGTAGGTGGTGAATTGTACCCGCAAGTACTGAAAGATATCACCTCGTGGGATCGTGAATTTGAAGAAATTGATGGTCTCCAGAACATCGAGCACCAAGACGCGAAAGAGTACTTAGCTAAGTACGTAAACCAACCTGAAAAAATCACGCAGTATTTTTCAATCGTTGACCTGATCAAGAGTGAAAACAAGAAACCATTGGGAAAACTGGCTTGGGAGTTCGAAACTCGTTATTCTTCGAGAATGACAAATGAAGAGAAGGAAGCATTGGCTGAATTGAAGAAGTTGGCCCCAGAAAATGAAAGAGAGGTGAGAATTTTGGATGTCACCATAGCAAAGTTGCACACACCCGACTTCTTGCCAAAGCATTTGTGGAAACATGGTTTAAAAATCGTTGAAAAATATTCTAAATTGTAGTAATAAAAAAGGTCATGCCCGTTCATCACGTAGATCATTCACGAGGAACTTTCCTTTTTTGTGTATTTAAAGAACTCGCACATAGTGAAAACTGTCTCGATTAGTTAATTAAATGTTTATATATACAAAACTAAAGTATGTCGTGGTAACAATTATGCCGCTATTTAACGTTGAAGAAACTTTAACATGTAGGATAACGAATTGATATAACATAGGTATTTGCACATTCGGGCACAATGAAAAGAAACAATAGCAGGTAGTCAAAAGACACAACAATATTCTGAAATATTTAGAAGTAGAAAACATTTCTTGCAGGCACCTGAAGCCGTTTTAAAATCGATATAACTCTTATAATGAGACTTATGTCGGCATAAATAAGCAATTTTTTATGTTAAATAACAAATGTATTAAATATTCGTAGAGGTGCTTGAAGACCTCACGAATCGTACAAAAGCAGCAGATGTATATAGTTATGGTATAGTGTTGTGGGAGATGTGGTATGGCACCCAGGCGTTCACAGAATTTATGCCCATCGAAAGCGTCACCGATTTCCGAGAAAAGCTGGTTGAAGGGCATCGTCCAAAAATAGATAGAAACAAAATCAACATTATAGGAGTACATCAGGTCATGGTAGCATGCTGGGCTACTGAGGTTGAAAAAAGATGGTCAATGAAAGTGTGCTATGATGCATTATCGGATGTGACAGGATGGAGACTGGAATGATGAATGTCCAAACGAAGAAAACATTTAAGCACATTTTACTCTATGAAGAACATAGGCCCCATAGCCTGCCATCAACATGTATACAAGTAGATAAGCATAGAGGACATTGTTTTGGTATTTTTTATTGACATTAATTGCACGTTTTAATTGAAATATAACACCATACTAGTAGTTAATAATAGTTTTTCAAAAACACTCGCGATGTAGCCAATAAGTATCGATTACAGTGTAGTAGTTTGTGCATTTTCAAATATATGTTAACTTTTCTTAAACAGTTTCTGATTTGTTATCGAGACAACAAGCTACCCTTTCTCTGACCATTCGTTATAATAAGTTATTGTTATGCGAAATACGTCATAAATCGTGATTAGTATTTTTTTGTTTTCACACCAATTGTGATCGTCCTACAACAGTCATATTTTTATGAAAACCGGAATAACGACAGTTATGACAAAATCAGACAGATATCAAAGCGAGACAATTCACTAAAATAGTGGAGAAAAAATTAACTTTTCCGCAAGTTTTAATATGCATTCGATAGCGTAGCTCTATGTCATTCGAAAATTAATCAATTTTAGAATTTAAAACTCGACCAGTCATTAAATCATAACTATTTTAATTTTAATTTTAAATTTTCTTTTGATTACTAAATATCCGCCATATTGGATTATTGAGATGATAATGTAGTTGATTTTGTATAAAATTTAATAGTTATTTTCGAGTAATTAAAGTAGGACAGACGTAAATAATATAGAATATCATGAAAACAAACCACGACCGATCACTTGCATGAGATCGTATAAAACAGCGTATCTCGAATTAATATAAACAATTAATATCCAATTTTGTGCAAAAAACTACGGCCGCTGTTGTCATTATACCACGCCCGTGATCTTTATCAAGCGGCATCATCAAAAATGAAAATTAAAGCCGGGCAAACGAAACAATACAACTAAACGGTGGCCAATAAATGTTATATATTTTTTGTCACGTCTTGTTTGAAATTCATTTTTAAATTACGCTTTCCGCCTGTACGGTGTTTAAATCGCCATTGTGTCAAACGGAATACTTCAAATATTTGAGGTTTTGAAACTGCACAATGGGAGGCAAAATTATCACCACTCTTTAAATTGTGGCATATATAAAATCCTTAGAAATTACACTTGTTTCCAAGTATTGCATGACCTAATAGCTATTCATAGTATAAACACTGTCAGTATGTGAAGGAACTCGAACAGCTAACATCGACAGTTCTCGTATATTTTTGATTGAGCCTTGTGGTCAGGTATGTTCGTCAACCTCAACCTCAAAAGTTATGTATCCTTGTTCCAAATCCAGTATATGTAAGAAAGGGTAGGATATTCAAGCTGGTTGTAATATTAGTCTATAATTATATAGCGTGTTGTGGTTCTGCTAGTCAGAGATTTAGATTTTGTATTAAACGTTTTAGTCAACTCGAAAGGCGACTATACAACAACTTACATGTAGATCAGAGTTCCAGAATCGATATGATTTAATTTATAGAGCAACAAAGTAGTTTTGTAATGAAAAGCACAAATACTACATGCTAAGACAGGAAATGATGACATAAATCGGGTCTTTCCTATATAAATATTGCGTTTATAGTCCTCTGCATACGACTGCTACAGGGTCAGATTTGAAACTAGATACATTTTTAGTCATACTCTACGTACTAAAACTGATAAAAGTTCGCGAACATGAATATATAATAATAATAAAAATCATAATATATACATCAGTTAGCGACAAAAGAAGAAAGGGTGCTTTTATTTCCGCCAAACATGTCACTACACTTGTTTATCCGGTAGGGTTTGGTTTGCGAATCCGGAGAGATCTGTAATATCGATTCTAAATCGCTTCTTTTCTTGTAGTAATCGAAATGTATGAAATTTCGGCGTCTTTCGGCGTTTCAATATTCCATATTATTATATATATATAAGTGAACGTGCAAATACCTTTACAAATTAGTGACTTTGAAAGTAAGGCGATAAGTATCTCATTAATTGTTCGTCGTTTTGCATTTGAATTTAATCGTAAAGAGAACGAGGAAGATAATAATATTTAAAGGGCCAAAACAATCCGTAAAACACCGCTAGAGTTTTCACAGGAAAATAAAGGTGATTATTATTAGAATACAAACGGATACTAGAAATTTAATGCTAGCGCTCAGAATACACAGACGTTCACAGCAAGAGACATGAACCACAACAATTGTATTATCAATTGTATATCACGCGATCATAATTTGATTCAATTTTCAAGTATATTGTTAAAAACAAACACAAAAATTGTCTTTTATATAAAACTCAAACCCTGGTTTGGCGGTCAGCGGGTTCTTTATTAAAGCTCTCTGTAGATGATGACCGATAGTAATGTCGACAAGCATGGTAGACTTGAACAAAATAAAGAAACTTGAGTTTTTGTGAAAAAACTCCCCGCATTTTGTGAAACTTTACGCGATGAAGAAGAATAAGGGTTTAAGGGTCTTAATTTCGAGTGGTTATAGCACACACAACTCAAACTTTATAGACACTTCCTGAATTTGTTACCAGGAATGAAAACCATCCCACTAACAATAGCTTACATCACCCGCCTCGTTTTAAAGCTATTGTTTTGTGTGCACTCAAGCAAATTCGGGAAGTGTCTATCAAGCCACTGAGGAACTGAGGAACAGATGAGAAAAATGTGTCAACTATCGGTCATACGGATCAAACTTGGGGCAATGCTCTTGCCCCTGAGCTACAGAAGTAACTGGTTTCCACTCGAAATAAGATCCTTAAACAATTGTAAGGGCGCTTTCCATGGTAAAAACGGCCAAACTGGTCCTGCTGAATTTCGCTGCAAACGTGCAGTTTACTGGTATTTTAGAGTGCTTCAGAAACTCTGCATTTAAGTATGTATATGTCGTTGTTTACATCTGCCTAGCACGGAAAATGAACACATTTCAGTTAATCTATTGTTTCAATCGGCTCTTGAGAAGTACAAATTTCATCTAGCCATAATTATTAGTTGGTATACACTTTCACTGTCTAAGCATAGTACGTCATTCTAAGGAATCGTAGCTATATAATCGGAAGTGCATGGATTTGAATATCTCTTCATATCACAGGTTTGACGAAGCTTAAATATCTTTGCAAAGCGCAAAATTGACCGCATGTCTTCGCCAGAGGAGAAGGAGGATACAACTTGGCGTGAAAGGTTCTTAAGCTCTTCAAGTTACTTCGCCAAATCATCACCAGTATTAGAGAGAGTTCGCCGCACAAAATCAGATTGTTCAACAACTCAAAAACCAAATACTGTTCCTGTTTACGAGGTAGATTAAGAGAAAATGCTATATAATAATTTCCCATTTTCTATTTTCGATTTATAGCAAAAGAAAAAAAATTACAAAATATTTACGAAGTAATCCTCCAGCCGTTATCTTAGATCCAATTAATCATTAGCGTATAGGTATAGTCATACCATTGAAAATTAAATAAGGTAAAGCCGTGGGTGTTAATTGCATTCTTTAGGTTTGTTTGTTTGGTGAAAAAAGTATTTGTGCTTCTTTAATCATTTCACTGGCTTAGGGTATTCCTGAGAATCCACAAACCTCAAGCGATCTCTATACCAAAGTGGTGATACCGGAGAAAGATACAAGTCATGAACCAAAGGTGATGCGACAGACATGTGGCTATAAACGTACCAAATAAATCAGTTTTCTAACACTTATACCACAAACGTTTTGTATTATATACACGAAGACCTTATACTGCATAAAAAGCATGAGTGGACAAGGCTAAGCATAATTTATGCACTGAAGTGAATTTTCCTTATTTAGGTATATGAAGAGCTTGGGACTTTACAAGATAGAAAGGCTCGGTGTATCAGCCCGAAAAAAACCGTAGACGATGTAAAAGATATTTACGAAATGATGGAGTTATTTAAACTGCTTCATATTGAATACGATCCTCAAAAATTGGTCCTCTCAGAGATGAAAGAGACGGCGAAAAAGGAGATAGAAGAACAAAGTTCCGGCAGCGGAAAATATTCAAATGGAATAACGGTGAGTTTACACGAATTAGCCTATCAATAGTATACAACAGCCCACATAATTTATATTTAAATTATATCGCATGAATCTTGTTTGGGATTATATCATTTCTACTATCACTCTGAACTTTTTCACTGCATTTTAAAGGGATTTGAGGTCATTGCAATGGCTAAAGCCGAAGATACGTTGAAAAGGGAAAGGCTGAGGGAATCGTATTTGGAGGTTGATGAGTGTGTCAAGCAATTGGATCAGTATGCGATTGAGATTCTGGACGTCTACTATGGCGATCGTGGGATTTTGAATGCTTTGGCAGAGCAGAAAAATAGCTTAACCAACACAGAGTACAACGTTCTTATTGCAGGTACCGGGCGTTGTGTGTATAAGCGTAAAGTCAATGCATTATATAGTTTACATTGAAACTATGCAATAAATTCTACTTGCATTCTTTAGGTGAAAGTAGTGCTGGGAAAAGTAGTTTATTGAATCTTATTCTTGGCGAAGAGCTTCTTGCACACCATGTCTTGAGTACAACCTCGACAATATGCGAACTGAGGTTTGGGGAGGAACGAAAACTGGTCGTTCATTATAAGTATAACGAAGAAACGAAGACACGTCCTTTGCCTGTAATATTCCCCTTGAAATCCCAGGAAGAATGCGGCAAAATTTTTTATGATCAAATCGCTCCCTTCGTGCAAATGTCAAATCAGCGAGAAAAAGGCTCCAAATATTCTAGAGTAGAAATCTTTTGGCCGCATGAATTACTTAAGGTAAATGGATGGTGGTTAGTTTTTAAAATTGATGATTGGATGATATAGTAACTTAAAAATTCTAGACGCGAGCAGACGAAATATACATTTTTGGAAATGTAGCTACTTTAGGGCATCACCAAAAATGTAAATTTAGTCTGTTCGCGTCAGCAAACAGGTAAAATTATTAAGTTACTATTTTTACTTTCTATATTTTAGAAAGGAATTGTTATCATTGATAGTCCAGGCCTGGGTGAATCTGATGAAATGGATGAAGTTCTGATGAATTATCTTCCGAATGCTTTTGCATTTATCTATGTTCTTGACACTTCCCACGCTGGGGGAATACAAAAAGACTTGAAAGAAAAGGTAAAAGGATTTTCCAAATCTTGTGCTAAGAATACGCATTTGGATAGGTTCCTATAGGCCACAGCGCCTATGTATAAAAGTCATGAATTTGTTTCAAAATTGAGGGGGCGTAGAAGATGGCGTACATGCATAGCGTATAGATGATCCATACATTCATATGTTATTGTAGTTGATGAACATCATACAAAAGGTGCAGAAGTCTCAGACTGAATGCAGTGTTGAAACAACCCTTCAACATTTAGCCGAATGCTCGCTTTTCATCGGCAAAAAATGGGATCAAGTAGAAGAAGATCAGAGATCAACGGTGAAGAAACATATCGTCACAAAGCTGTGCGAGTGTTGGGAGTGTTCAAATTTGAGTCATCAAATTGTGTATATGTCAATAAAAGACGCCATCAAAGTACAGGGATATGGTGGAGTCACACAGGAGTTCAACGATTTACTTCAAAAAATTAAGACGATGATATTGAAGGCAATAAATGTCAGACTATACAACCACTGGCTGTAAGTACATCACCAAATTTCTATCCTCATTTATTATATAATGGTCCGAATAAACTCAATTGACATTTTCTCGATACCTAAATGAACTTAAAGGAAAATCAGGAAAAGCAGGAAAATTAATAATCACCTCGAAATTTATAATAAATTTGAATCTAGGCAATTCCTTTGAAGAGATTCATTTTCTTGCAGGTGGTTGTATACATTGCTGCACCATATTTATAGAGTAACATATTTCTTCAATCAAGAGGTTCAATCATTTCACAAGCAAACTCGTGAACGGATGGAATCAATCGAAAAACGGGAAAACGATTGAAAAACAAGAGCAAGATGTAAAGAAGAACATGGAAGAAAGACTGAAATACCAGACCACAGTTCTCCAAGATACACTGAGGAAATACATTTGTTCGACAGAATTCAAAGCAAAGCTCTGCAGGTGGAACGATTGCGTACTTCCACCGTACGAAATAAATTGGAAACAACAAAAAGCAACGTGGACAAGGCAATTGATTACCGATTTAAAGAATTACTCATCCAGTGGGAGAATGACAATCAAGTGTACTCGAAAATTCACAGGCAGCTTTTGCACGAATTTCGTACAAGGTTTGGCATTATATTGTGTGTAGGTGCATGTACAGTGGTCATTCGTGAAAATATTTTCCTCAAAAATAGTAGAGGCCTTATATTACGTCAACGACTTGTTGGCTCGAGGACGTTGTTGCCTCTGCTATATGCTTAATATCAGGAGATACCTTTCCCATTGCCAAAAAAATTACGTTTCATGAAGAACAACAACGCTGCTCCTATACCATTAGGACAACAAAACGTTAGGCGAATTTCCAACAGGCGGAATTTTTTGACAGCTTCTGCACAAATTTCGTACAAGGTTTGGCATTATATATTGCGTGTAGGTGCATGTAGAGTAGTCATTCGTGAAAATATTTTCCTCAAAAATAGTAGAGGCCTTATATTATTATACCGTCCCGATTGCCAAAAAAATTACGTTTCATGAAGAACAACAAAGCTGTTCCTATACCATTAGGACAACAAAACGTTAGGCGAATTTCCAACAGGCGGAATTTTTTGACTGAACGAAATTTTTCACATGAGATTCATGAATTTTTCGTATGAAATGTCACATGGGAAGTCGACCGAAGTGGACCAAATCACAAGTAAAAAGAAAAATTTCGTTGATCGAAACATCCCGTCCAGTGGAAAACTGAACACTGAAAACAGGGAATATACAAATGGGCGGTTGTATGAACTTTAATGTAACCATTGATCTTTGGTTAAGTATTTTCACACCAAGTATACAGCTCAGTATAGGTAGAGAAGTTAACAACCTGTTCTTTTAAAAGGTTAAGTCTTTTGGAAGAGGAGCTTCAAGGCATCGACAAAGCGATGCATGATGTGGAAAGAAAAGCTGATTATGCAAAGAATAGAAGTAGATTTTCGACAAAAGCCAAAGTTCTCTTCGGAGCAACGAGCCCTCTTTGGATTCCGTTTGGTGTGGTCGGTTTGTTGATTGGTATGCCCGTTTTGGGAGCAATGGCAGTGAAACAGAAAGTTGATCATAACAACAGGTTGGATAATTACAAGGAAAATCCTCGTGACTACCTTAAAAAAACGATCAGAAAAATATCTCAAGCGACTCCCCGAAGATTTTGTGTTAGATTATACTCAACGCCAGATGGAGAACACCAAAAAGGTGTTGTCAAAATATGGAGATCAAATTCCTATCCTGATTGAGGCCGATCGAAAACTGATTACGCAATTAAGAAATGATGAACGAAGCCAGGATGAAGTATTAAAAGTGTATGGTCCGATTCAGAAAAAAAGTGTCGAAGTGATAGACAATATAATACCCTTGGGAATTGAGCTTTGTCCGGCAACAGTAAACGCGAGTGATCTTGAATGGAAAGAATGTCTCGGCGAGGGAGAGTTCTCCACAGTGTACCCTGGGAAGCTAAACAATGCTCTAAAATGCTCTGAAATAAACGTGGCGGTGAAAGTATTCAAGGATTTATTTGATGATCCAAATAAAAGATTCTTTCTGTACGAAGAAGTCCAAATTAGGCAAGTATATTTTTAGCGACTTTGGAAAGAAAACGTTTAAATATAGAGAGTGCATGTGATATAATTGCGCACAAGAGTATTCATCATTTAAATTAGAACAATACGAAGAGTGGCCTAGTTTCAAAGGCCTACTAACAAAACTTGATGGCTAATTAAATTTTCACATATTACCTTTTGCTTTAGGGACTTACAACATAAAAATGTTCTCAAGTACTATGGAGTAGCCAGAATAAGCGATTCTCATTCATCCAACAAGTACAACTTTATATTCGTGATGGAAGCAGCCACAAACAATCTACGAAATGTCGTTTTAAAAGACAGAAATGAGACACCTGCAGAATCTGAAAACTGCAAACAAGCAATTGACAAGTTCATTAAGAGGGCGATGGACATAGCAGCTGGTCTAAACTACATTCACGAGAGAGGACTTATCCACAGACATCTCAAGCTGGAAAATATTTTGGTTGGTACCTTGTAGTTTATTTTAGATTGTTGTTGACTGTTGTATAATTGATGTGATATGACTGAGACCATAGATATGCATGCAGCGAAGAAATATAAAAGCTTTGAAGCGCGCTTTAATTACCCCCGTTTTAACCTATATGTGACTTGGGTTTAAAAACTAAATAGCACTACTCCGAATGACGAACTCTATACTTACTAAACACCTGATATTGGCGCAACCGTTATTCGCTGTAAGAGGGATCACAAGCGCAGCTGAAGAAATATTTAAGCATCAACCTTTTTCTTACAGGAAGGCGAGGATGGGACGGTGTTGATATCAGATGTTGGGATTGTCGGTCAATTTCTGGAAACTGAGAAAAGCATAACTTATCTTGCACCTGAGGTACTCGAAGACCTCACGAATCGTACCAAGGAAGCAGATATGTACAGTTATGGTATTGTGTTGTGGGAGATGTGGTATGGCGCCCAGGCGTTCACAGAACTTATGCCTATCAAAAGAGACCGTTTCCAAGTACAAATTGCTGGTGGGCATCGTCCAAAGCGGGACCACACAACGATCAACATTCCACTAATACATGCTTTAATGAAGAAGTGCTGGGACACTGAGGTAAAAGAAAGGCATTCCTCCAAAGAATGCTACGAAAAGTTACAGGGATTAAATGACGAAACAAATGCGACCGACACTAAACATTTAATATAATCTCCTAGTATTGAAACTGACTTACGTAATTACAAAATTCAACGGATGCATGCAAAAAGTAAGAATTAGGAACTAGTACCTATAATAACCTTTATTATACACACAAGCGCCAGATATGAGGTATGCTGCAATTTCATTTGTTGGCTACTAGACAGATATTAGCTCATATCTGTCTGGTAGTGAAAGTAAACAAATTGGCTGAAAGATTTTGGGAGTTGAGTGAAACAGAAATCCAAGATTTAGTTGATAATAGCGCACCAAAATACACCGACAGGGCGACAAAGTTTGTGTATATAATAAAACAGTTATTCTGCTCACAATCAGCTCATATACGACTCGAGTTCGCAGAATAACTGTTAAATATTGCACATAATTATTATCTAACTACGATTCGCACAGGGAAACCTATTAGCTTCAAGTCTGAACCGCTAAAACAAGGCTTATTAAGTCTTCTCCAACTTTTAATAAAAATATGTAAAAATATTTTTGTAGAAGAAATAAAAATACGAGTTACGCGAAAACGATGAGAGTCAGCATTTTGTTTCGCCGAATTTCAAAAAATTTTCTAGACTGGTAAAAGATGTATATTTCATTCCATTTGGAGTACGCATGAATTCAGCATCATCGCTTCGTTCTGAAAAATCTTACGTTTTGTCAATGAATTCGTTTGTTGAATCTAATAAAATTTATTGTTATAAGCCTTGCTAATATTGTTTTGATTCGCCAAGCGTATTTGTTCGATGGCCGCAAACCCTCGATGTCAGAGTTATGTTGTTCAGATTTCCAAATTACATGACTCAATATCCGTCATAGTGAAATGATACTAGTTGCTACTGTATGAAATTCAAATTTTTGTTTTCATGACAATTAAGCAATAACAATGGGTGCATAAGACACAATTAATATCCAACCGATATAAAACAAATCTCCTAACAATGCACCGGCATGTGATCGTATAAAACAACATATTTCAAATGTAGACAAAAAAATTGTGATCTTTACCAGCTAAATTGTTTATTCTAAGTCGTTGATCCAGGGCCTTTATCAGAGAACTTTGAATAACATGTTACATTAAGTAACATAAACTAAAAAGAACTATATATCTCAACTATGCAGGAAGTTTTAAAATAACTGCGGGAGACAAACATTCCCACTGTCTTCCAAGTATTACATAATTAGATATATGTTGATGCGTGGTATATCGTAGGTGAATCGATGAGCTTCGACAGTCTCAGGTTCCAAAGAACTTACAGTCAGGTATGTTCGACAACATCTATATAAATATATGTATATATATATATAGCCTATAGGTAATGCCCTGGCTATATTTTTTTTACATTTTATGTGTAAGGAGAGGTACGACTGATATACATACAGAATTGGCGATTTGGTGTTGATATAGTACTAAACATTCGCTTCCCATTGCAACAATCTACAACATTTCGGTCATGATTGAAGTTCATTTATAGAGCAGGGGCCGGTTGTATCAAGCCCGTTTAGCTTAAACAGTGGTTAAATTCAAAATATAGAAAGCAAATCTATCGTTTTATTCTAGAAGCAAACTAAATGTTTTTTATACAAACTTAATACAAAGATACTGTTTACAACTGCATATTCAGTGCATAATATTCAAGTTGACTCATTCAAGAGAGATGTAAGAGTGTTATTCAGTTTTGACTTATCCACCGTTTAAGCTAAACGGGCTTGATACAACCGGCCCTATGCGGCAATATAACATCTATATGAGTTCTGTAAGACTGTAATTTTAAAAGACACCGATATCACCTGTTGAGACGGGAGACTACAGCGGATATGTGCGCTGCCTTGTTTTCATATTGAATCTTGGTTATCTTTCACAGAATCAGGCTTTGTCTAAGGTTGATACACGATAAACTAAGACTGCATTATAAGGGGAATTCATAATAATTAGCGTTTAATAAGACAGTAATCGCTTCAATTAATTAACATGCATGCATAAAATTCCAGCGTCGATATTTTACATTGTTATGCCTATGAGTGCTATCCAACCAAGCTAATTTTAGAACTACCTCTGGGAATATCAGTATTCACTTGTGATTACAAATCGCGAACATCACGCGAGACCACACGCAAGCCGGGAACAATGTTGTTTGCTTGAAAACAAGAAAATACCGATTCTGACAAGCTAATAAAAAATAATGAAATATAATGTTGAAGTAATGTTAAAACATAACTCTGACAGTAGTATTTTTTTACGCTTTGTTTCAGCATCTTTACAGATTTATGAATACATTTAACACTGTAAGCTAGGTTTGTATACTATATGTGTACTATATGTGTTGCGACTCAACGACCCCCCACTCGAGGTATTCGGCAGAGTGATAATATTTCTTTCTGCAGTGATAATATTTTTTTCTGCAGTGATAATATTTCTTTATGCAGTGATAATATTTCTTTCTGCAGTGATAATATTTCTTTCTGCAATGATAATATTTCTTTCTGCAGTGATAATATTTCTTTCTGCAGTGATAATATTTCTTCATGCAATGATAATATTTCTTTCTGCAATGATAATATTTCTTTCTGGAGTGATAATATTTCTTTCTGCAGTGATAATATTTCTTTCTGCAGTGATAATATTTTTTTCTGCAGTGATAATATTTCTTTATGCAGTGATAATATTTCTTTCTGCAGTGATAATATTTCTTTCTGCAATGATAATATTTCTTTCTGCAGTGATAATATTTCTTTCTGCAGTGATAATATTTCTTCATGCAATGATAATATTTCTTTCTGCAATGATAATATTTCTTTCTGGAGTGATAATATTTCTTTCTGCAGTGATAATATTTCTTTCTGCAGTGATAATATTTCTTCATGCAATGATAATATTTCTCTCTGCAGTGATAATATTTCTTTCTCGTTTCTTTTCGAAGTGATGATATTTTCCTCAGTAAAAGAATAACATCACTTCGGGTGATAATAATAAGACTATTAACATCGAACATCCTAATAACGAGAGATCAATATCCTTGTGTGTTGAAAATAACTTTGCTTGTCTAACTTTTAGTGAGGAAAGAGCGCTAAAGAGAGTAAGTGCATAAAGTTGGCGATCTCTTCAAATCCGCAAAGTCCGTAGAAAGGTTATATTTCAACAAACCGTAAAATTGACAGTATGTCCTCGCCAGAAAGGGAGGAATCATGGGAGAACGTAGACCCTGATAGTTCTTCATACCAAACGGCAAAAGAAATTGAAGCGAAAGGAGAAATCCCGAATGCTGAAACAAAGAACTGTCAACAGACTCCACTTATGAGGTACGTAATTTGACTTAAAGAAAAACGGCATTGAGCATTAGTTAGATCTAATAAATTATATAACGTCAAATTGAATCGTCAAAGTGCTTGTTCTTATTTAAATCAGATCAACTTTACAGGTCATCCCAAAAGATCAACGACCCTCAACCAACGTGTATGAAACATTGCAGGCCACCCAGGCAGGTTATCACAGTGTATCACAGGTGATGTAACGACATTTTCTTTACTATACTTATGGCAAAATATATACCAGGCATGAAGAAAGGCAAATGGTATTCCTGGGTTATGAAATGAAAACGTTACGAAACCAGTATTGCACGTCATATCAAATAGATAAAAATGATTCCACAAGATGGCATAATACGAAGTGAATTTCTGTTTTTTTTAGAAATATGAACAGCCAAGTTCCCAAGTGAAAAAGGCGTTTTACGGCCAGAAAATAACGTCAGAGAAGAAGCCCAAAAAGAACGTCGGGGATATAGAAGACGTTTTCGAAATGGTTGAATTATTTAAACTGCTTCATATCAAACACGACCGTAAAAAATTGGATCTTGAAGAAATGCTTAAGACAGTGAAAAAAGAATTAAAAGAACAAAGTTCCTGCAGCGGAAAATATTCAAATGGGACTACGGTGACTATTTTTCCAAATTTCTGTATAGTTATTATCCGAAGGGGGCTATGATCTTTTGCTTTTTATATACACCCGGCTGTGTTTATATTTTATATATGTCGCATCTTGAAGGCCAATATCATGTCTATACTACACGGATATTAACTAATTTTAGTTTTATGAAAAAAAACGGGTGGTAATTAGTTAATTGTACATTACTACCCCTAAAATGAATTGTTATTATACACGCAGTAAATATGAATACATCCCTCGAAATTTTCGTTCCCTCAACATCTTTTCACTGCATTTCATGTTCAAAGGGATATAGGGTGATTGCAAAAGCTAAAGCTGAAGATATGTTGAAACGAGAAAAACTGGAGAAATTATATTTTGAAGTTCAAGATTGTGTGAAAAAATTGGATGATTACGCATTTGAGGTTCTAGACGTCTATTATGGCGACCAAGGTTTTTTGAAAGCTTTGGAGGAACAAAAAAAGAGCCTAACGAAGACTGAATATAAAGTGCTGATTGCAGGTAGTGAACGTCATACATTGTGTGCTAACAACAACATAAGGTCCTGGAATAAATATAGTTTGTACTCAAATGATTTAATAAATACTCATTACAATTTTTAGGTGAAAGTAGTGCTGGAAAAAGTAGTTTATTGAATCTTATTCTTGGTGAAGAGCTTCTTGCACACCATGTTCTGAGTTCCACCTCGACGATATGCGAGCTGAAGTTTGGAGAACCAAAACTGATCGTTCACTATAAAAGTGATAAAGAAACGACGCGTCGCTTGCCTGCAATATACGAATTAGACAAAAATGAAGATTATTATAATCAAATCGCCCCTTTTGTGCAGATGTTGTCAAAGGAGCGAGAAAAAGGATCAGAATATGGAAGAGTAGAATTATTTTGGCCGCATGAATTGCTTGAGGTGATCTTGTATATAAAGGTTTCTCGAAGCTAGAACTTCAACCGATATTAAAATTTTTTCGGCGGCTATATTGAAAGCTTAACCCATGCAGTCAATTAAATTTTTTTTGCCATCGTACTATAAAATGTTGTATTCATTTTCCAATATTTTCAGGAAGGAGTTGTTATAATTGATAGTCCAGGTCTCGGTGAATCTGATGAAATGGACAAGGTTTTGATGAAATACCTTCCAAATGCTTTCGCTTTTATTTACGTTCTTGACACTTCCCGTGCAGGAGGAATTCAAAAAGACATGAAAGAAAAGGTAAATAGAAAATTGCAATACATATATAAAATTAATACTAAACTTCACTATAAAAAATTAAAGTCTGCAAATCAAATTTGGCTACCCTGCAAGATGTGCTAACAGGTGGCTACCAGTTGAAGTATACTTCTCGGTTATTGAATATTGTAGTTGATGGACATCTTAAAAGTGGTACAGTCTTCTAATAAAGCCGTTGAAACCCTTCAAAATTTAGCGGAATGTTCGCTTTTTGTCTGCAATAAATGGGATTTGGTAAAAGAGGATGAAAGGCCAGCAGTGAAGAAACATGTCACTGCAAAGCTCAGCGAATGTTGGGAAGATACAAACTTGAATCATCAAATGGTGTACATGTCAATAACAGACGCCATCAAAGCACAGGAATATGGCGGAGTCACAGAGGAATTTAATCATTTACTTCATCAAATAAAGTCGATGGTATTAAAGACAATAAATATAAGACTGTACAGTCATTGGCAGTAAGTATCATCATACTGTTTCGACAAAAACGTTCACCAAAAATCTGCAAAATATGATATTTGAATGCTCTTTTTCACTGTTACATGTTGGTTTTTAATCAAGATTTTTGTTGCTAAGCAACACAATTAGTATGCGCGTAAGAAGAATTTGAACTTTGACAATTTGAAATAAAAACATACCTCTGCCAATGTTTTCTTCTTCCATCGTAGAACTTGAAAAAGCCTTGACTGTACGCGACATGTTTTTAAAATATTTTTTCTAAAATATTTTTTCCCAGGTGGTTGTATGCAGTGCTGCACCACATTCATAGAGTAACCTACTTCTTTAACCAAGAGATACAATCAACCCATCAAGAAACTTGTGAACGGATGGCTTCGATCGAGGAACGCATTGAGAGAATTGAAAAGCAAGGACAAGAGGTGAGAAAGAGCATGGAAACAAGAGTGCAATACCAGACCAAAGTTCTCAACGGCAAACTGGTTGGATATGTCGATTCAACCGAATTCGAAGAGAAGCTTTGCACTTGGGACCGCTCTTCATCTCCACCGCCTGGAGTCGACTGGGAAACAACAAAAAGCAACGTGAAGAAAGCAATTGATTACAAATTTAAAGAATTGCTTATTCAGTGGGAGAAAAACAGTCATGTGTACGATGAAATTCACAGGAAGCTACTGGACGAATTTCTTACAAGGTTTGACCCATTGCGTAGATTTTATATTCCGAAGGTTCATGCATGTATCGTTTAAGTTTTCCCTTTAAGAAAAATGGCTAACAAAATGTTTCTTTTCCTAATTTAGCCATCAAATTAAATCTAACTTCAAAAACTGTCCAATATGATTGGTTTAAATTATTCTTATTTAAAATATAGCAAGTATAAGTGGATCTTTTAGAACCTTCTTTGACTATTGTATAATTATCTTTTGAAAAAGGTTGAATATTTTGGAGGAGGAACTTCAAGGTGTTGACAAGGCGATGCATAGTGTAGAAAGACAAACCGATTGTACGAAGAATAAAAGTAAAATTCCAACCGCAGCCAAAGTCCTCTTCGGAGCTACGAGCCCCCTTTGGATTCCATTCGGTGTGGCGGGCTTGGTATTTGGTATACCTGTTTTGGGAGCATTGGCGGTAAGACAGAAAGTTGATGAAAGAAGGAAGCTGGATGATTACAGAACAAATCCTTGTGACTACCTGCAAAAAAGATCACGAAAATACCTCGAGCGACTCCCAAAGCTACACGTGTTACAATATGCCCAACGACAGATGGAGCACACCAGAACGGTGCTATCAAAATATGCAGATCAACTCCCCATTCTGATAGAGGCTGATCGGAAACTGGTGAAGCAATTGACCAATGAAACCCGAAGCGATGACGATGTATTTAAACTCTATGATCCAATTCAGAAGCAAAGTGCAAGGATAATAGATTCTATTATACCCTTGGGAGTTGAACTTTGTCCAGCGACTGTGAATGCGAACGATCTTGACTGGAAAGAAGACAGCGTTACATGCCTCGGAGAGGGAGAGTTTTCCACTGTGTACAAAGGGAAGCTAAACGATGCTGGTGGAACAGAATCAGATATTTCTAAAATGGATGTGGCAGTGAAATTATTCACGCATCCATTTGATGCACCAAATACTAGATTCTTTCTGTACGAAGAAGTGCAAATTAGGTATGTGCATGTATGCATAATAATCTCTATAAATTGAACATTGTAAATTTTTATGCGGAATCCTCTCGCCTATTCAATACCGACGACGTATGGTCGACTGTCCACGACAGCTTGGAATGGGATATCTTCATACGTGCGTGTTCTTACCCAAACATTTCAACAAAGACAAAACGTAAAACTAATCAAATTGTTATACTTTTACTCTAGGGATTTGGAACATAAAAATGTTCTCAAGTACTTTGGGGCAGCCAGAATCACATCTCTCTCATCTAACATGTATCAGTTTATATTCGTGACGAAAGCCTGCCGAGAAAACCTCAGAAGTGTAATTTTCAGAAACCGAAATCTGACACCAGCGAAATCCGAAAACACCAAACTGGCAATTGGTAAATTCTTTAATTGGGCGATGGACATAGCGGATGGTCTCAACTACATTCACGAGAGAGGACTTATCCACAGGCATCTCAAGCTGGAAAATATTTTGGTTGGTACTCCCTTGTTGTAACTTTTAAGATAATAATGTACATTTATATGGTATTAATGAGGTGTTGGAAGAGTTTAAACTTTTAATTTCTAACTAAGTAATCAACTTAAGTTCGTAAATCCTAAAAATGTCCCCTTGAAAATGATTAGCAATCTCCATGAAAATTTGCTGAAGAGACAATACTTGTTCTTCAGGAAATACGTGCATATTGCCCTTGAATTTTATAAAGAGCTAACCGCGAAACGCTAGCAATATGCTTCCAAAAGACCTTCGGGCTCAGCTAAGCTATTTGGCAAAATACTGCATCGTGATTCACATATTCAATAAACAATATACGATCTTTGTTTTAAACAGGAAAATGAGGATGGAACAGCGATGATATCCGATATTGGAATCGTGGGACGATTTCTGGAAACAGATAAAAGCATAATTTACCTTGCACCTGAAGTGCTAAAAGTCCTCACGAATCGTACAAAAGAGTCAGATATTTATAGTTATGGTATTGTGTTGTGGGAGATGTGGTATGGTATGCCGGCGTTCACGGAACACATGCCAATCAAAAAAGCCCAATTCCAGAAAATGATAGCCAATGACATACGTCCAAAGGCAGATAACAAGAAGATCAGCATTCCAGCAATACATGATGTCATGAAGAACTGCTGGGCCACAGAAGCTGAAAAAAGATATTCCGCCAAAAAATGTTCTGGAAAGTTTCGAGAATTACAAAACGAGCCAAGTGAAACCGATGACACAACACATTCTAACGTTTATAACAGGATTTTCCTTAAATTTACCCTTAAAGTATTGCAGCTAGCACACTCAGAACATTACTGAAAACACATATTTGTGGAAAAAATATTTCGCATAGTAGCTTCACCTTTTCGAGATTCCTAAATTGTACATAACATTATCTGTAATTCGACTTTCCACGCATTTACACGCATTTAGGCAAATTCATACAAATAACTGTTACATAATTTGGAAACTCATTCACAGTACATGCATTTGAAATCTACATTTTTAGCAAGTTAGCAATTCCAGCTTAGAATAACCCCTGGACCCGAGCCTCTGAATTATTTACTATAATGTGCTTTGGTCTCCATAGTGAGTGTTTGTCACTGCACAATCAATTCTTTTAAAACTTTCAATGTGTTCCCACGATTATAATTAGGCTTATTATAACACTCGAACCTTTTTGAAGCTAAATTGTCTGTTTGAAATATAATGCTTCACTTCAAATCTTGTAAATTATATTGTAGTCTTTGATGTCTCGTTAAAAATTTTACCTGCATTCTTTAAAATAAGGCATTGAGAGCAAACATATTATAAACGGCATATGTGGTATTCCTTCCCTGCTGTTAAGTTATCCGCCTTTCATGCCGTAGTGACTCGGTTCGTTATTTTCACTACGGAAGCGAGTATGAGAAAGTTATAGTCAAGGTGTCATGTATAGTAATAAAACATATATTTTTGTTTGTATACAGTTCAAAGACAGGTTGAGTACTCAGCCAATAGCTCCGAATGTATACAAATTTCAAACTCAGCACAATCCGTAACAATCAATTTATGCAGTAATTATAAAATAAGTCAAGCTATCAGAATATCAGTTGACAGTTGTATTGATATTTATGGGATCTCACATTAAAATTTATATTTATGGGATCTCACATTAAATTCTCTGTCCGCTGATAAAGTTTATCGACTGCAAGTATACAATACGTTGTGTGGCTGTTGGGACCGCATGCATAGGTACAGGAATTAAGACTGAATCGGCATACTGTTTGAGAGCTGTGTTTTTTTACATCAGTAAAATATGCAAGAATTTTCAAAACAACATGACAAACTTAAACACTATTGTCTTTAATTGTTGTTGTTTCAAGTGTCGAGATATTAGACTGCAATTCTAAGTATTGATGGTTATAAATATATAGGCTATGTCCATCTATATATTATAGTATATGTGATTAGAGTTTTGTACGGACAGTACTGTACGTCTCGGGCGAAATTGTCTAGTGGAAATTGCGAGTCAGGTACGTTCTACAACACGAGAAGGTAAGTACTATAGCTACTCTAGGAATGAATGAAACATTCAAAGCGTGAAATATACATAACAATTTATGACTTCTTTTGCGATGAAAGTCATAACTCGTGAACGAATAATTCGCAGTGGCTCGCTTTTAATTTCGTCAGCATGAATATTTGAACTTCATGACTGCCGTGTCTTAGAATTAGAACTATAGAAATCTTCATATCGTATTAATATAGCTATTAATATTAGCTATATTGCCCATATATTATGATTAATGGTACATACAACATGCAGCAGTATAAATTATATTTAAGCAGCTTTGTTCATAAGAAAATATAGAGCTTTGGTGTAGTGAGTTATGCACGCATATAAAAGTCTGTCTATATATATGACTAAGAGATATTTATTTGGGTTATAATTTACTTCTACATTTATATTTGTTTGTTATTATATTTATCGTATTAAATTTAATCGCGCATTATTCTTTTAAGCGAAAACGGATTATCTATTAATTCGATCTTGGTGTCCATCAGGCACACCTTTCACTGCTAACCTTATACGTCTCAGAAAATAATATTAAATTCCTGTGTAAACAACAATTAAACGATTCATACAAAGTCATTTCGAAACATTCGCGAAGGTTTAGCGGAAGAGCAGCATAAACAATTGTAAAGGGAACTTAACAGCAGGGGACCGAATACCACATATTTTTTATAACCTCTGCTTCTTTGTTTTCTGTTTGAACACGCAAAATCGATCACGACACGTCTAAGAGTTAGACTTCCGTTAAAATTTATAACTTATAGCATAGACTATAATTTCAGAACAACGCGCAAAACCGTATATTCGACTGCTAACTAAAGTAAATTCTTTATAGCTGTTTTATTCAGTACGAAATATCGACAGTATGTCTTCGCCAGAAAACGAGGGGAATTGTGAACCGGCTACTATCATAAATCAGGATTCAACTGGAATAAAGGATAAAGAAATAATCACTATACTTTGTTCACCGAACGATGTAGCGCATGAAGAAGAAACAGAAAATGGTGAATCGATTCTTCAGGTAGATATCTTTACAAAAGAAAACTTAGAAAATTAAAATTCTTTATACTTATCAGAACACAATTATTGACTAGAAAATATGAAACAGTCCAACTCGAGATTTTTGGGGTAGATGTCTTCACAAAAATGAGAGGAAAATATCTTTATACTTATTCAAATCAAAATTATTGAATAGATAATATGAAACAGCCCAATGTTAGGTTCTACTAAAATACTCGAGAACTTATAAGGTTTGTCTCAGACGTCAAACTTTCTATATGCCAAATTTCGTGGATGCAAATTAGCTTAAACAAAAACCTTAGCTTATTAACATTAGGTATGGAACATGAAAAATCAAACTAAAACAAGCTTTTTTTAGAAGTGACAAATGACTTCCACAAATGTGCACAGGGAGGAAGCCACGTATTGCCCTAAAGTTTTTCTCAATCGAAAATCAAATTTTCCAACGTAAAATTTTATGTTTGAATGTTCTGTTCACTTTATTGACAAATAATGATTGTTTTCCTACAATATGTAGACCACAGAGCAACAAGATGAAAATACCGACGAAAGTGATAAAACCTCTGCAAAAATACCAGATGTGGCGTCGACTGATACCGAAAACAGTTTGGCCGAAGTCAGCTCGACCGAAGTCAGAACAAATGGGGACGAAGAACAATTGCCAAAAACAGATTCCAGATGTACATCATTGGAAATGAAACAGGTGGATGACCAGGTAAGATAAGTCTGATAAGACGTGAAGAAAAAAGTGGAAAAGGAAAAAAATACTGGTGCTACTAGTGGAAATAGAAAACTTGACATCGTCACCACCCTGCAGACCTGGTAAACCCAGTATCATTACCGCTATATTAATTTCAAATTTTTTTGTTAAAGGATAAAGTTATATGCGCAACATTTGAGAAAACAAATGGCAGAACCAAAGATTTTATGTTATATTCTGGAAGAAAAACTTGTAATGTAAGCTTTTAAGAAAAAAAATTATAAAAAAAAATATAAGTGACTTTATTGAATTCGTTAACAACTCTATTATGTGACGACCTGGAATATACCCACATTATATTTTACCTCTTCATAGACTCCAGGTTTAGCCAGCTTTATGGTATAATAATGCCACAGGATCAGTTGATAAAGGAATATACTCACATTATGTTTTACCTCTTCATAGACTCCAGGTTTACTCTTCCGAAATATTGATCCGAAAAGCCAGCTTTATGGTATAATAAGGCCACAGGATCAGTTAATAAAGGTACATGCTATGTTATTACTGTATTTCTCAGTCTGTGGTTTCATTGATTTTTGATGAGACGTCGGTTTCGTTACCAGGTCAATGATCAATATGTCAAAAACTCAGATATCCATTCAGTGAACCACCTCCTTGATAATCTATCTGGAAGTGTCACACTTGAAGTACAAAGGTACACAGCATTTGCATTTATAATTCCAATGCATGTCAAATGCATGTTGTTGATGCAAGAAAAAGTTGTTGTTGTTAAGCGCGGGCATGTGAACTATTGAAGGCAAGAAAAACAAAATATGTTGATGTAAATAACGAGGTCATATATTTGTTTAAACATCACAGGAAGAACTCAAAGCAAGTGTTGAAAGAAATTGATTCAAATGTTAAACCTTTTCCTGGAAAGGTAATATTTTTGTGATATTTAGGATGTGTGCAGTTGAAGTACTCACGCTACTTAAGCATACCTGGCTTCCGTCAAACGATGCACAACTGCTCATGCGCCGAAAGCATTAAAAACAAAGCGTGCATGGCCAATGTAAAATAATTATGTTTTGAAACACATAGAACATAGAAATGAAAACGAAAAGAGACAGCATACAGCGTATCCGAGCAAAAATAAAAAGCAAGATGCCAGAGAAGAGCATCGATGATGTAGACGATGTAATGGAAATGGCAGAGATATTCAAACTCCTAAAAATTGACTACGACCGAAGAAAATTGAATCTTGAAAAAATGAAGAAACAAGCAAAGGAAGTGTTAGAAGAACAAAGTTCTGGTAGTGGGAAATATTTAAAGGGCACAACGGTGATTTACATGAATTTGTTATATTATATATAGTTTACATTCTGAGAACTTGATTAAGTGAGTTTTAGATAGAAAATTTGCTACTAATGAACTTTATTTTCTTTTTCAAGGGATTCGGTGTAATAGCGAATGCTAAAGAGGACGATAATTTGAAAAGAAAAAAATTGAAACAAATGTATTTCGATGTTGCAACTTGTTTACAAGACTTGGATGAAGATGCGCTCGTCATAATGAATTCCTACTATTCTGGAGGAGGTGTTTTTGCTTCCTTAAGCGAACAGATAGGTCGTTTAGGAAAACGAGATTATAATCTTCTTATTGCAGGTGACCACGTGTAAACACTGGATGTATTACAGATTTATAGCTAATGTTTGTCATTTTATGAGTGCACTGCACCCCATCAAAGTTAAACTGCATGTTTATCTTTTTATGGCAGTGCAATTGCAATGCAAACATTCAATGTTGACAGGCTTTTCCTGATATAACTATATTAATGACAATGAAATCTATGACTATCCATTTGAGTGTACGCTACGTCCAATTTCACCCAATTCCTGTAAAAAAATTCTAAAAACGACTGCTCACTAAACAATCGTACGGCTTCACTGAGAATATCTATTTAGTCTCGAAAGTCCGTATTGAATTAGACCGTTTGCATTATATTGCAGGTGAAAGTAGTGCTGGGAAAAGCAGTTTGCTGAATCTTATCCTCGGAGAAGAGCTTCTTCCCCACCATGTTTTGTGCACCACTTCAGCAATATGCGAACTGAAATTTGGAAAAGAAAGAAAACTGGTCACTCACTATAAATACGACGATAACTGGCAACAGAGGCCTCCACCTAGAACTTTGTATTTGAAAACCAAGGAAGAATGTGGGGAAAGTTACCAAGAGCAAATCGCTCCATTTGTGTACTTGGAGCAAACTGAGCGTGAAAAAGGATCTAGCTGTGAAAAAGTCGAAATCTTCTGGCCGCATGAATTACTTGAGGTGAACTTTGTTTTTCCATTAGATAACCACTAGAATCAAAATAGTTAAGGCCTAATACACAGAAACAAAAGAGACGAACCCTTCAGAATGTTATGTGCTCTTTCTTTCGTAAAATTCTATCCACTTTTCATTTTTCAAATACGCTGCGCAAACGATTGACGTTAATGTTATATCAAAGTCCATTGACGAGTAAAAACTGCAATGAACTGTTTATTTTAGGAAGGTATTGTAATCATCGATACTCCAGGCCTGGGTGAATCCGACGTGATGGATAACGTGTTGATGAATTATCTTCCAAATGCTTTCGCATTTATTTACGTCATCGATGTGTCTCACGCTGGCGGAGTACAAAGGGATATAAAAGGAAAGGTAATGCACACAAACATGTTCACGGCATCAAAATTAGACATGTTAAAGCGAGTTTTAACCCCAAAAGTATGATAGCATGATTGCTTTAACATGATCTTCCAAATGTAAAAGCTCTGAGGACAGAGATACCGTTACAAAACTGAAAGTGATCGGTGTCTAAATTAGTTCAATTGTAGGTGGAAATCTGTGTTAAAGCTATAATAAGTCTTCATCTTACAAAGACAATTCAACACATGAAAAATGTGATGTTTTAAAGTTCCTATTACAAGATCCTCGTCCTCATACAAGATGGACTTCCCATATATGAGAATATTGCCGAATTCACGTGAGTTTTCTCCACTATCTAGCTAATGGAAATCTTAGAAAGATTACGTAAATTTGAAGGCCACAATGAGACGTTCAACCGTTTAGCTGAATGTTCACTTTTTGTCTGCAATAAATGGGACCAAGTTCAGGAAACTCAAAAAGCGGAAGTGAAGAAATACGTTTCCGACAAGCTGAGCGACTTCTGGCAAAATGAAAATTTGTATCATCAAATTGTATGCATTTCCACAACCCAAGCCATCAAAGTGCAACAATATGGCGGAGTCACAACAGAATTCAATCACTTACTTGAAAGCATTGAGAGGATGATCTTAAGGACAATAAATACCAGACTGTACAACCACTGGAAGTAAGAGATGTTATAGTTTGATTTTTATGTTTAAAAAATGTGTTTCCTATTCTTAGAATTCTTAGAATTATCTATTCTTGGAATATCTTCTCATAATTCTTATTCCATTTACCAGGTGGTTGGATTTGGCACTTCGGTACATCAACAGAGTTGCCAGCACTTTCAACCAAAAGATAATCTTCACTAGCCAAACAAATCGTCAACGAATGGACTCGATCGAAAGGCGTATGAAAAAAATCGCAGGTCACGAGCAATCTTTACAAGAAGATATAAAAGCGCGTATCGCCCAAAAAACCAAATATCTTGATTACAAACTGGAAGAATATATCTATTCGCCAGAGTTCCAGCAAACCTTCTGCGACTGGTCTAAATGTTCATATCCCCATATTGAAAATTCATGGGCCAAGACAAAAAGTAATATTGTAAAAGCTGTCCAATACAGATTTGAAGAATTGATGCTTGAATGGGAGCGAAAAAACCAAGTCTACTCAGATATTCATCGAGAAATTGTGGATGAATTTCTTGCAAGGTTGGTTAATTTTCGTATACAAAAAGAGGTACACCAACTTAAGCATGAACACTGTCTTGTATAATATATTGCTTCAGCGATTTGATCTTTACCCAGCGGGAAAGAGCAATTATTATTTGGCTTTCCAGCATCCTCGTTCCTAGGTTTTCTGCGTACTGCGTGGTAGTCCCAGTGAGCTCCACATATATCTGCAGTAAGAACTTAAGACTTCCGTGAGGCCAAAAAGTGAAGCCAAAGATGGCGGAGAGGATAGTAGTGTTGAAGCGTTTCGAAACAAAAAACGAAACAAGAAACTCAAAACATAAGGTGGAAATTTATGAAAATAACTCAAAATTAAACAAATCTGAAATGCGTAGTTGAATTTACGGCGAAAAAGGTATATTTACTCACTCGTACAGTCGGAAAATGGGGCACCCACATCGGGTAGATGCAGAGAAATAGATTCTCGGTAAAATGAATCAATTTTTTCCATTCTTGTGCTCTCAAAATGATGAAAAACACGAAAATCTGAGGGTTTCGGGAACGTCACTCCCGGTCAAAAACAATGAGAAATATTTGGCCGCGCGAGTTAGGGGACTGAAACTGACGTACTATAGCGCTTCAATTTCCGCTATCTTTGGCTTCACTTTTTGCACCCAAAGTTCTTACTCCAGATATATGTGGAGCTCACTGGGTAGTCTCGACACATGCAGTACGCGGAAAACCTGGAAACGCAACCGAATATCAGATTTTTTCGTTGTCTTAACATACGACAGGCATCCTTAGAAAGCTAAACAGTTAATGCTCTTGCAGCATGTGTATGAAATATTCTTGTTAAACGCAATATGTCATGCTCAATAACTTTATACACCCTGTATGTACTAGACGATGTAAAACATTGTACCACCTGCTGTAATTTTTCTCTGGTTGCACATCATCATATTTGAATTTGTTCTTAATGTAGGTTGAATGTGATCAAAGAGGAGCTTGAGTGTGCTGAAAAGGATTTGTATGAAACAAAACTTCATGATGAGATAATAAAAGTAAATTATTCACACCAGCCAGGCTTTTTGTCGGAGCAATATCTCCTCTTTGGGTTCCTGTCGGCGTAGCAGGTTTCATCATCGGTATTCCTGTCTTTGGAGCGTTCGCAATTCAATACAAAGTCTCTCAAAAACTTAAACTCGGCGAATATATAGAAAACCCGCGTGCTTATCTGGAGAGAAGATCCAACAAGTTCCTGAAATCCGTAAAAGAAGATGGGGTGCTTAAATACGCCGAAGAGCAGATGGCGAACACGGCAACCTTAATGAGAAAATATACAAGTGCAATTCCGAAGCTCCTTGAAGCCGATCGAAAAATGGTTTCCAAATTGTTGAGTGAAAGACGAAGCAAGGAAAAACTAACCGAACAGTATACTCCGATCATTCAGAGAAGCATGGAATTGAGAGAATATATCATACCAGCCCTGGGAATTGAACTTTACCCAGCAACAGTCGATGAATGTCACCTGGAATGGAAAAAGGACGAGGACTCGTGTCTTGGAGAAGGAAAGTTTTCCACGGTGTACAGTGGTAAGCTCAGAAATGGCGGAATAGATAGAGAACGAGATCCGAATAATGATTTGGAAGTTGCGGTGAAAGTATTCAAAAAGCCATTTGATAATCTAAATTCAAGATTTTACTTGTATGAAGAAGTGACGATTAGGTAGGTTTTATGAGACTTCTATTATGATAGAAGGGGACTCCTAATATCTATTCCAATGAAATTGAAGTGAAATCGGGCCAAAACGATGATACTAAAACAAAAATCATGGTGACAACCCAGCGCCTTTCTTACTCTCAACCTTTTATATGTAAGAGCGTTTTTACCCCTCAATACTATAAGTAAAGCATTGAAGTATTGACATAGAGAGGTAAACATTTTCTGTTAAATTAGCATGTTCACCTTAAACATATCCAATATGTTTGAGCTTTACACATTTGCTGCAGGTATTTAAAGCACGAAAATGTGGTCAACGTTTTTGGAACAGCGCAGGTGAATATTTCGCACTATGTTAATGATTACACGTTTATATTCGTGATGGAATTATGCAAGGAGAACCTCAGAAGTTTCATTCAAAAAGACGAGAGAAAAACGCCAGCAGAATCTTCGACAATCAACCAAGCAATTCAGACGTTTTTAAAATGGGCGAAAGAGATTGCAAGAGGGTTAAACTACATCCATGAGATAGGCCTCGTTCATAGACACTTAAAGCTGGAAAATATTTTGGTAAGTATGCTTCACTTGCCATCGGTTGAGTAGCTACAGTGATCACGAGTGTCGCATGATTAAGATTATTATTTCCCGTATTATACATCCTATCTCAAGAAGTCTCTAAAGACCTTCACTCCAATGGACCAAGTGTAGTAGACCAACTTAATATAAGGAAATAAATCACCACAGCTAAAAAGAGCCGGTATACTGAAATTGGTGTAATTGCCAAGTTTGGCTGCAAATGTCGAGTAGTTTCGCTATGCGAAGTACGCAATTTTTGTATACCTTTGCACACCTTTTACAATGCTTTGTATGTCCTTTTCGAAAACTCCCTTTTTGCCGCCTAAATCAAAAGTTCGTCTAGTATGGAAGTCCGTTAACTATTCTTTCACCAAATCCATCTTCTCATACCATAAGGTAATTCTAAAACGTACTCAATAGAAGACACAATGTTGGAGCATTCGACAAAATTTTCCAACGTACATATATGTACTATTATCATGAATGCTTCCCATATCTAATACACAAAATGACTTGGCACCAAGAAAAGAATACCTTCTAATATCAAACCTTTTATTCTGTCCCAAAGGTGGATGAACAGGGTACAGCAAAGATATCCGATATTGGGATTTTGGGCCAGCTTTCGGAAACTGAGGTAAGCATGCCTTATCTTGCACCTGAGGTACTGGAAGACCTCACGAATCGCACAAAACAAGCAGATATCTACAGCTATGGTATCATGTTGTGGGAGATGTGGTATGGCACCCAGGCGTTCAAAGAACTTATGCCCATCGACAAGGTGACGTTCAAAGAAAAAATAGCTGGTAATTATCGTCCAAAGGTCGATCACACAACGATCAACATCCCAGCAATACATGATGTCATGAAGAAGTGCTGGAAGACTGAGATAAAGGAAAGGTATTCTGCTAAAGAATGCTACGAGATATTTCAGGAATTAGTGGAAAAAAGAGTCAGCAAACTTTTAAGCTAAACCTCGTTCGATTCATCCGATTTAGAGTTGGTTCTCTGAAGACTGAATAGCTTAAAATTTATTACAAACTTTATTATTGTCAAAAGAAGCACTAACTAGAATGCGTATTCATTGTAGCATAGCTCTTACACGCTGAAGAATGCAGATATGTATCGGAAAGTAGAGAATTTGTTGATGAACGTAGTGAACATGAAGTATTTAGAGCTACACGTATACTGAAACATTGCATGCCACAATATTTATTTGATAGATCTTCACGGTGATACTGGTTGTTTCGTCTTAAGAATTTTTGGACGGAAATTGCACGTAGCGTACACTGTGTGGTTATACTTAATCAATTAATCATGGATGTAAAATATAGTTGAAATAGGTAATAGTATAAGTAAAAAAGGAAATAAGCATCGAAAACAGTTGAGAACAAGCAGAGGTAAAATTATCCGTAAAAATTTGCACTCTTTCTTACAACGTGTGAAATCAGTGACCCACGCAAAACTGTCTGGAGCATCACTAGTTAGCCATCGTAGCCGAGTGACAAAAAATTTTTCACAGCGCACTAGAGCCAAGTCTCCTTAAAAGCACGCCGCTATGAATGATATTTTGCTCAATAGACAATTTGGACACCCTTTAGGAAAGCTCGTCACTTGGCTATAGAGCCTCGCTTAGGACTGTAGGATTCGAGTAATCTTGTAAAAACCAATAAATACCTTTACTTTTATTACGCCTCTTACAGACGAGCAAGTTTTTTATGACAAGTTTTTATGCGACAATTTTTAATTGTTCGTTCGTACGCGGAACTTTGACAATTTTTTCTATGACAATTATACTAGTTCAAAATCAAGTATACTTATACGTATTTATGCAAGAATTTGACAACGCTGCGGGATATGACCATTATCTGTGGAAATTAGAGTTCGCTTCCAAGTATTGTATGATAAAATATTTACTGATCAAAAGTATACAAGAAGTGACATAAACTGCTTTGACAAGTGGTCTCAACTTTCTTATGGAAACTCTCAGTCAGGTACGTTCGACAAACCTTCCGAGGTAGATACAGCCCTTGCTGTGTTTAATAATACCAGAGTGAAGGATATTTCACGGTAGGTTTTCCTAATGAAACCACACATATTACGGGTCGGCGGTTCAAAGATAGATTTCGCACGATAGATTCGGGGCTCAAAAAACATCACAGAATTTTAGTATTGATGAAATAGCTACGTGGTATTGAAGTGCATTGTTGAAGCTACACCGACACAATCAGCTGAAGGAATCCTGTGATTTTAAATAAGAAAACTTTCTTAGAATCCGCGCAGTTGTGGATCGTAATTATCGTTCAGAAGCAAAGATGTATAAAGGATTCAATATTGATTCTTCTTAATGCTTTTTTACAGTCTACGGAATTATATATATTAAATTTAAGATTCTGTCATCTCTGATGCTGACACGCCTTTAATTGATATGACTTAATGTCACAGCTCTATTCGTTTCTTTTCATGTTGTCAATAGGTAGGCTACATTAACGTTGAACTAAAACTAGCCTTACACAAGACGTTTGCCTTGCAGAGGCGCCAAATGTCACAATAATGCAACCATGCAAACGTAGCTATTGAATGTAGACAGTGACATATCTATACACATGCGCTGGTCGCTGGACGTAATCGGCAGTACATCAATTTCTTGTGAACGTCAGGCAGAAGACGTTAACAGAAGAATTTACTAATTTTGCGAGATATTGATAAAAAAATGAGGATATACTGTTAAAGCTAATGTCGTGTTGATGTCTGCCACATAATTATATAATTTGAATATTATATCAACGTGCATCTGAGTCGGCCAATTTACCATAGTTGTGTATGAAATAACGTGGCTTAGAGTTGATAAACGAAGTTAATCGTGATTGTCATCCTGGCGTTTTAAAACTAGAAGATTTCATTACCGATATGTCGACAATTCAGTATCAACTACATTGTGATTTACATACAATATTAACATTGGGTGTAGAGTTTTAATAAGCGAGCAGAACAACCAGGGGGCGGTTGTATAAAACTGTTTAACTACATTGTGCATAGTTAAATCCTAGTTAACTTTGAAATACGGTTAAAAGTTTACTAGTGTTTTATACAGCTGGCCCCAGTTATTTAAATTGCAATATATATTAAGACTGACGAAAATGCCGACATATTTGTTATTCTTTTAACGTTTGTCTACCAGCAATTATTTCACAGCAGGGCAGGTATAAACAGCGATTGTATTATTAATCGTATATCACGCGGATCTATATAATTTGAGCCTATTATTTAATGCAAATATTCGTTTAGACTAGAATATGCGTAGACAATGCAGCTGCTTGAAAACATTCATCTCAAAGATTTATTATGTAAACACAAGCTTCGTTTACACTACACTCTAGGCTGGTTTACTCAACACACGACCCTGCATGGTTTACACTACACTCAAACCTGGTTTACACTACATTCAAGCCTGGTTTACACTACACTCAAACCTGGTTTACACTACATTCAAGCCTGGTTTACACTACACTCAAACCTGGTTTACACTACATTCAAGCCTGGTTTACACTACATTCAACCTGGTTTACACTACATTCAAGCCTGGTTTACACTACACTTAAACCTGGTTTACACTACATTCAAGCCTGGTTTACACTACACTCAACCTGGTTTACACTACATTCAAGCCTGGTTTACACTACATTCAAACCTGGTTTACACTACACTCAAACCTGGTTTACACTACATTCAAGCCTGGTTTACACTACATTCAAACCTGGTTTACACTACATTCAAGCCTGGTTTACACTACACTGAAGCCTGGTTTACACTACATTCAAGCCTGGTTTACACTACATTCAAGCCTGGTTTACACTACACTTAAACCTGGTTTACATTACATTCAAGCCTGGTTTACACTACACTGAAGCCTGGTTTACACTACATTCAAGCCTGGTTTACACTACATTCAAGCCTGGTTTACACTACACTTAAACCTGGTTTACACTACATTCAAGCCTGGTTTACACTACATTCAAGCCTGGTTTACACTACACTTAAACCTGGTTTACATTACATTCAAGCCTGGTTTACACTACACTGAAGCCTGGTTTACACTACATTCAAGCCTGGTTTACACTACATTCAAGCCTGGTTTACACTACACTTAAACCTGGTTTACACTACATTCAAGCCTGGTTTACACTACATTCAAGCCTGGTTTACACTACACTTAAACCTGGTTTACATTACATTCAAGCCTGGTTTACACTACACTGAAGCCTGGTTTACACTACATTCAAGCCTGGTTTACACTACATTCAAGCCTGGTTTACACTACACTTAAACCTGGTTTACACTACATTCAAGCCTGGTTTACACTACACTGAAGCCTGGTTTACACTACATTCAAGCCTGGTTTACACTACATTCAAGCCTGGTTTACACTACACTTAAACCTGGTTTACATTACATTCAAGCCTGGTTTATATACAAAACACATAAGCCTGATTTACACAACACTCAAGCCTGGTTTACACTACACTCAAGACTCGTTTACAACACACAAACCTCCTTTACACTAGCTACTACGAATCACGGCTAAGCGACGGGGATGGAGAAATTTCATGTCCGTTTTTAGGTACAGTAAATCAACGGAAAGGTTATCTGGTATACCAACTTGTAAAATTGACGGAACACTGAAGTATGTCTTCGCCAAAAAAAGAAGTGCCAAATGAACGTCAAAGAATGTCTAGCACGGCTAGTTATTTCGATGGAACAACAACAGCAAGGGCAAAAGAGTTCGTCAGGAGTCATTCGGAATCGAACTTTGCAACGTCTCAAGGAATAGAAATAGACAATACTATTTTCGAGGTAGATGGATGAATTTGTATTATAGATTTGTATTTGTAGATAGATGAATTTCAAATAGCAGCGAATCTTTTCCCTTTGGAGTGAATGTTATAATCATAGTTTTTGCATATATTTCCAATATAGGGATTATAGTATTTGTGGAACAATACTATCAAAAGTTGAAGTTCTATCTACTATTCCAGAAAGTTAAAATAAGCATACCTCTTTAATAGGAATGTCGACAGACTAGTAGTCGAATAAAAAAGCTGTCTCGACGAAGTCGCCGGAGAACAACGACGAAAAAAGCGCCAAAAAAGAACGTGGACGATATTCAGGACGTGTTTACCATGTTTGAAGTATTTAAACTTCTCCATATTAAACATGATCCACAAAAGTGCGACCTTACAGAAATGAAAAAAACTGCAAAAAAGGAGATAGAAGAACAAAGTTCAGGAAGCGGGAAATATTCCAATGGAACAACGGTGAATACTAAATGATTAGTGACCGAGCGCGAGGTGTTCATTGTGAAATAACAGACGAGGCCCTTAGTATGGACCGAGCCACGAATTTGAAGTAGCGAGGTACATGCAAAAAACCACGGTTTGATATTTCACAGTACAGATCGAACAAGCGAGGTCACTAATAAAACAGTTAATGCATGCATAAGAAAATATAAAAACGACATAATCGGCCGTTTGTGTTTTTTCGTTTTTGTATAAACGCTCTGCAAGCATTTAGTTTCTAACGAACTTATATTAAGGTGTTTCAAAGATTACAGAATGGGCTTTTAGGGTTTGGGCAGACATTAATTACTTGTCACATCTTATTCTTAACTAGGGATTCGAGGTGATAGCGAAGGCTAAAGACGAAGATTTGTTGAAAAGAGAAAAGTTGGGGGAATTTTATTTGAAGATTGATAATTGCATCAAACAATTGGACAAATGCGCGATTGAGGTTCTAAACACCTATTATGGCGATCATGGCGTGTTAAATGTTTTAGACAAACAAACAGAACGCTTGGCGAAACTAGAGTATAAAGTTCTTATTGCAGGTACTTCACGTTTCGTTTTCGTTTACGGTTCAGGGGCCGGTTGTATCAAGCCCGTTTAGCCTAAACGGTGGATAAGTTCAAAATAGAAAGCAAGTCTGCCGTTTTATTCAACAAGCGAAATGTTTTTGACCTTAATATAAAGATACTGTTTACAGCTACATATTAAGTGCATAATATTCAAGTTGACTCATTCAAGAGAGATGTAAGAGTGTTATTTAATTTTGACTTATCCACCTTTTAAGCTAAACGGGCTTGATACAACCGGCCCCTGCACTCCAGGTGATCCCGTGCTCATATTTTAACCCTTAGAAGGTTGACGAAATAGACATTTATCTTTAGTTACTCTAAGAAACTAGTCAAAAATTTGTGATGATGCTCATGACATGAATTTTAAACCCGAAAGAAAGCATATTTCAAGAGATATTAAGTTGTTTCAACCACGAAATGCCAAATTTCCCAGGCCTTGTCTGCCATATGAGATCGCCTGGCTATTTTTTGTTAAACTTTTTTCAGGCGAAAGTAGCGCCGGGAAAAGCAGTTTATTAAATCTTATTCTTGGCGAAGAGCTTCTTCCACACCATGTTCTCAATACCACTTCCACAATATGCGAGTTAAAGTTTGGAAAAGAACGAAAACTTGTCGTTCACTATAACTACGACGAGGAACGAAAGATTCAGCCGGAACCTGTTGTTTATACCCTGGATAAAAAGGAAAATTGTCAAGAGCAAATTGCTCGATTTGTGCGCTTGGAGGATTCGAGAGCACGAGAAAAGGCTTCCTGCTATGCTAAAGTTGAAATCTTTTGGCCACATGAATTACTTGAGGTGAAT